CCTCGGAGGACTGTCGACAATATTCTATCAATAGGCGCCATTGTGGGGAGGCGTACAAACGAAGAGCTTCGCGGTTGTTAGGTACTCCATGGGAGGGTGAACCAGGCACTGGCTGGTTGAAATTTGCTTCAGTGACCACGTAGGTCCGAGGAAAAGAGCCCTCGAGAATGAGGACAAGACCACAAGGGTGACTTAAGACCCTCACTGATTTGAAGGCTTACGTAGGGCTTTACTAGAAGACTAGAACTGTGTTTTTTGTATGAGCCTCAAGTTTGGTTTTAGTGGCATGCATAGGGCTCTACTGGAATTGCTTTTATGTCCTAGTTGGTTTGACGAATATGATCCAGCCCGACTCACGTAATATAAGTTTGGGATGGTTCGTTAGTTGGGAGGCAAAGGCCCTATTGGCGTTGCCATTAGGTCCTGATTGGTTTGGTGAATCTTATCTAGCCCGACTCATGCAGTATAGGTTTTGGGGCCCTAGTTGTGTTAGTCGAAGGGCTTCGGCTAGCTCGAGGGTAAAACTAGCACACAACCCTGCTAAATCTAGCATCACTCAGGTAAAGCAACAAAACCAACAAAAGTTTACCTATCATGTTAAGCCATGTGTAACCAATCATGCCCTTAGAGCATATCCAGCATATTGACCTTTCCTATAGCTAGATAAATGGAATCGAAGGGGGAAAAGAACTATAACAGATCCCTTTTCTGTCCCATCTATTTATTTTTTTCTCAATTGAGAAAATCACCCTCTCAATCCCTAAGAGAAAAAGGGGAACAACCAGCCTATTTTCTCGATCCCCTTTGTTACAAACATATCGGCCCCACATGCACATATATCGTCATCGTGCCGCTCCAGTAGCACATGCGAGCCGTTGCGTCGCGTCATGCCCTGTGTCGTCTACAGGCGCCCCGCCCCATAGGCCAGGCGAGCCGCGCATGCACAACACACTTTGCTTTTTGGTCACTAACACATGGGTCCTACCCTCCTACGTATAAAAGGGGATGAGATTTTTTCAGTATGCTAGGGCATACCCTCTTCACACTATATTCGATTTTCTCAGTATCCTACACTAGATTTTGAGGAAACAGAAAAGTGGATCTCGTGAAGATGCTGTTAAACCTTATTTGGATGTATGAGACTAATTGTTATGTAGCCATTTTTTAGTCTCAGACTATTCAAACAGGGGGTCTGGCAGCCAGGCTAACGATTATCCATAGCCCCAGCTGGCTTACCTCTTCAATTGATAATATGCTAGGACTTGAGTTGTGCCACTTTGGGGGCAGGTAGTGGCATGATCCAAAACATGACACATCGTGAAAAATTTGTCCCATGCCATATCTAGAATCTCAACGTGATCACCATGTGCGCTTGATCGTTTTTGTGGCTTATAAGCCGGCTGATGCTGTTTTGTTGTGAGAGAAAAACACTATATCATGGCTGATAAGCATGGCTGATACGATCAAGCGAACAAGGTGATGAGCGGCAAGGGCATGTCCTACTCCATCTTTCGGGCCATTCTTGAGCTAGCACAACATAAAAATAGCAACAAACACGTCTACAATGCATCTACCTTGCATTCATGCCTCACTAATGATCAAGGTGACACAAAAGCATGAGAGGGTCATGCCATGCTGCCTCAAGCTGGCAAGACCCGGCTAACTTATAAAAGAACAACAACCCACAATAAAAATAGCAAAAATACCCTTACCAATGACTTTAATGTATAAATCATATATATAGAAATATTAAAAATGATAGAATTCTAATACTACAATCATCTTTGGTTTGGATGGGTTTCATTTTTACCATACTCCCTTAGTTAAAAGACCGAAAATCTCATTTTCCAAAGAGTCAGGTAATTTTGAATTTGTTAAACATATATAAAAGAGTTAAATGCATGAGTGGTCCGCGTCTCTAAACTTGATAAATGGCACATTGCATGTCCATTTTTGGACCATATCAAACCATTGTGGTGGATCACTTAACCAATTTAGAGACCTAGGAATCCATTTTCATATTTCCTGAATCTAAGGAACACGTCTTGACAAATTCGGAGTCACTAATACATTTAACTCTATATAGAAATATTTGCATTTATAATACATAATAGTTTATTGCTAGATTGATAATACTTTTTTCATAATAAACTTATACAAACTATATATAAGCCTATTTTTTTAGGATACCATGCGACCATCTTTATTGATTCATAAGAATAGTCATATCTTTACTAGCTCTTCTAAGATAAAATTAGGAGGACCATCAACCCAAATACAATTGTTGTTCATACTAAAACCTTGCCTAGCTAGCTCATGCGCTACTCGGTCTACATCGTTTTGACAGTGTTTGATGGAAACATCAACGAGGTCCCTCCACAACGCATAGCATTCGTCATAGATCACCGCCGCCGCAATTGACGAAAAATCTCCGTTCTCCATTGTTTCAACCACCATCGAACTATCTGACACAATGATCAGTCTACTAGCACCAATTTGTTGAGCTAACAACATGCCATCCTTCATCGCATACGCCTCCGCCCTATGCGCAACAGTTACATGGGAGGTGAAATTGTTGGACGCCGCCACAAAATCTCCCCCACAACACCTGATGATCACTCCCATGCTACCTCCTCCAGACACTGGATCAAAAGCCGCATTCACATTTACCATAAGCTTTCCTTTCTGGTGGTTTGATTCAACCAATCTGCACTTTTGCTCCTTTCTTCGTTGACAACTTGTAGTTGGTTGAAAGTGCAGCAATTGCTAAAGCTGTTTGGAGTGTTCCTTGAACATTCTCGCGCGCGAGCTATTTGCCTTCTTTCTCACCACAAGCACCGGCCACTTGTGATGATTAATTTTGCAAAACCCACACTATTCAGGTTCTTAATAGATTGCCGCATCGAAATACTTCCTCTAGAACTATAGAACTAGATCTATCTACCCTCAGAATGTTTCTAATCTTGTTCCATAGCCCTAGTTTTCTCTACGTTTCTTTTGATCTTGCACGCAGAAACATCATATGCTTGATACCTTCACACGGCATGCTGGACATCCTCCAACGTTGGAATATGCTTATTTGCTAGTATCGTCCGGCAAGGAATTAGCCATGGAGAAGTCTCCATCCAAAGATTTTGATTTTTTTCCCCAGGATCTCCAACTCTTCCATACCTGATTATCCACAGTGCCGTTTGCATTCACTGCCACCTGGTTATTGCCGAATTTGTTTACCCCTTGGCAACGGTATGCTGAGAAAATAATCCATCTCGGTTGTGATGCCATGCAACTACATCTTCCCTGCCCGTGAAAACCGGGATTTGCAGGATGCGATGAACGTCAACAGGCTAAAATTAGTTAAATAAAAACTTATTATTTGAATATACACGAAATGCGTGATTTTCAGACGGTATCTTCTCTCATTACTGGAAAAAAATAATCCCACTTGGCCCGTGATTCTCGTTGCGGCCAACCCCATCCACCAGTCTAACGCGGTAAACGCTCAGGCTGCCCGCCCGAGGTTCGAGCGCGGGCTCCCGCGCGGCAAGACCCATTCGTCTTTTGATTCGTCTTTTGAGTAGCGTTATAGGCAAAAGATTCAATATATATTTAGCATCTTCTCTAACAATAAGACTCAAAAGAGAATCCTTTTTACAAATGAGTTTCTAGAAGTGAGGATGTCCATATTTGGGTTATGTCTCTTAGGCAACCAAAAATAGGTCTCCCATATAGGTACTCTGTTGGAGGTTGATTTTGGGTCTCTTGCTACCCATTTTTTTTGTTTGAGTGTCTATATGAGTTCCCTGTTATATGAGTTCCTTGTTGGAGACGGTATAAGGTAGCGTTTGGTTGGGAGTCGAGTGGTATGGTCCTGTCTCTGATTTATGGGATGGGACGGGGACGGGATGACTCTATTTTCTGTTTGGTTGACGAGGGACGGGATCGACCCATTTTGTGTTTGGTTCAGAGACATAAAAAGTGGGATGAGCTACCAACAAGTGGGACCCATTTGTAATTTTTTTTTTATCTTTTTCCTTCTCTTCTCCTTATCTCTTCCCCTCTCTCTCCTTATCTCTTCCTCCCGACGCCTGCTCCATACCTTGGTCACGCGTCGCCCCTCGTTCTTCCCTCGACAAGCACGTTCGTGGCCCTCCTGGGGACTCCTCCGCCGGCGAGGCCAGCTGGTCGCCCGCCTCGTGCCTCTTCCGTCCTCCGCCCTGAGCTCGGCCGGCCACCGCCATGGGCCTCCTCTGCCCCGAGCTCGACAGCGAGCCACTGAGCGCTTCCTCCGCCGGCGAGCTCAGCCACACGGCACAAGGCCGGATCCCACCCGCGCGCTCGCAGGGTTGGCCCACGCAGTGGCGCCGAACCTCGCTCACCCTTCCTCTTCCTCCCCCTGCTCAGCCGGGCCTACGTGCCGCCGCCTCTTCCTCGCCCGCGTGGCATGGCTGGCGGCAGAGATGAACCACGCGGCATGGCCGGCCGGAGCTCACCCACATGCGCCACCTCTCGCTGCCCGCGCTCGTCTTCCCGGTCGTGGCTCATCCCCAGGAGGACGACTCTATCCGTCAAAAAAAAAAAACGCGGATAGGAGTCACCGGCATCAACTGAGCTCCAAAGTATCCGGAAGACTCCCCGTGCGTTAAAAAAAAACCAAACGGAGTATCCGGAAGACTCCCCGTGCGTTAAAAAAAAAACCGCCACCCACAGCGAACCGTCCCCACGAGACTCTCCTAATGACAGGAGGGCCCCACTATTGTCGTGCCCCACATGACATTGAGCAGGCCATTCTGCATGGCCCCCCCGGGCGCCGCCGCCCGTCTCCCTCCGCGAGTCCGCGTGGCTACTCCTCTCGGCATTTCTCTTTGGTCGTGGGGTGCCCTCTCTTCCCCACGACTGAAAATTTCCTGGCAAATCGAAACCGTCCTCGCGCGACGCCAAGACGGAGAGGAGAACAATAGGGGAGGGGGAAGGTCCAGGAGGAAGCCACGGCCACCGGCGCGATGAAGCCGTCGCAGTCGAAGAAGAAGGGAAAGAAGAAGAAGAAGTCCTCGCCGCCGGCCGCGGTGCCGGCCCCTCCGCCGGCGGAGGGGGCTGCGGATTCGGAGGCCTGCTCCCCGCTGCCCGGAACCCTAACCCTAGCTGCCGCCACCGCGGCGGCGGCAGTTTCGGAGACGGAGTCCAGCAGCAGCGGCGAGGCCTCGACGTCCGCGTCGTCGGCCTGCTTCACCGCAAGCTCGTCCGGGACGGCGTCCTCGTCATCCTCCTTCTCTGCCTTCTCCTCGTCGGCGTCCACCGCTTCGTCGTCGGTCGCCGGCGAGAAGCGGTGGGACCTCACGTGGCTGCTCGACGCGTTCGCCAGCGCCACCATCGACCAGATCGACTCCGCCTACCGCGAGGCCGGCGGGGACCCCTTCGTGGCCGCTGGTATCCTGGGCTCCACGCAGGACACGCAGCCGCCGCAGCCACCACAGCCGGCGCCGCAGCCCCCTCCACCACCGGATCTCTCGCCGCGCAGTGGATCTGGTGGAAGGAAGGCTGGTCGGAGGCCCAAGCGGGTTGCGGTGGCCGCTACGGGCATGGTCGCGGACGTTATTGGCAAGGAATACACACGACCCGCGACTACTCCTGTAAGCGTGCCAAATGCATGGAAGGGTCGGGATGGGGAGAGGGATGGCGGGTCTGGTGGCCGCAAGTACAGCGTTGAAGAGGGAGAGCAGTTCCTGTGCTCCATGCTCGGTGATAATTCCGAGCTTGGAATGGGTGTTGTCAGAGATGTGCTCGGTGAGACATTTTTCACTTGCTGATCTATAGTTGTCTATTCAGAATGCTGCATTTTGAGCATTCCCTGTCATGCTGCCATTTCCACGACTCAACTGAATTTTGGACCTTGAATTTGTAAACCCTATGCCCTTAGATGTACCGAGTGTTCAAAAGATGTTCTTTTTACTGGCTTGCATATATATAGAGTTTCTATTAGGAGCGAAACATAAAAAAGGATCCTTTAAACCAAATCTTCAGTGAATTTTCAACAAAAATCTTGTGAAAAGAATAATCTTCTGGCTCATTGTTGTTCAAACATGAACTGTAAAGCCATTATTACATGGGAATATTACGAAGGCGATGATGGCATTTGAACTCTTGGTCTGTTAGTATATTTTTTCAGTGCTGTGTGCTTTGCCGTTACCAATGAAAATGAAAAGGAGTAATATACTGTCTAATTAACTCATGATGTGTGGCAAATTGATTGGACGATGCCACTTACAGTGCCGATGTATCAATGGACAAGCTAAAGATGGTGGCTTTGGGCGAGAGGTCCTTTGGTCAGGAACATTTGCAAGATTGGATTTTCAGTTAGTCATGTGAAAGGACTTGCAAGTTGCAAGGCTCAGAGAAAGTAGAGTATGGCCAAGGTCCAGATGCACCAGTTAAGTGGATCGATGGCTTGCTGCTATGGAAAACGTGTTTCAGCTTATTAGCTGTGCTTACATTGGGATGTGAAGTGGAATGTTGCTTTTACTCTTTTTTTTTTGCTATCTTTATGGGAAAACTAGACAACAGTTTGGTCAACTGAAAGATTCAATTTTTTCATAGAGTTGCTCTATCTGGTGTACACTTATTCTATCTCTTTGTTTGCTAAACAACTGCACTTTTTGACTTGTTCTAAAAGTTGTGAGTTCTGTTATGTGTGTAGCGATCGGCTGAATTGACTGTTTTAGTTCCGGAACGGGCTGTACTTTTTTCAGTACTAAAAGATTTACTTTTGGCATATTTTTGTGTTTTCAACTAAATTGATCAATTTAAGTATATTGAAATTAGCTTCTTAGTATTTGTTTTATTTCTACAACTTGCACGCCATTTGTATGTTTATTTGATTGGAACGATATCTCGTGTTGATATTTTCATCTCGTCCATTTTCAGGTCAGTATGGGTATGATGTTGAGAAGGTAAAATTTATTTTATTGGGTGCATATGCATCTCCCCGGGACTATACACTGTGTTTTTACCTTTTTTTTTTTAATTTCAACAAAATCCCACCTATTGGTTCGAGTAGAAACTGGCCTGTTCTCTGTGTCAACCATGTTTTTTTTTGCCTTCAGTAAATATCACTTTCAGGCCAGATAACACTTTGTTCTGGGGTTAGCCTTTGTATCTACAGGTGTATAAAATGTAGCAGAAATGGTCCTGTGGGTTAGCGTCCTTGATATGCTAGTCTTGTGCATATGTGACTGTCACGGGCCAGTGGCCGCTATTCAGGACACTCTTGAACTATTGATTGATGTGCCTGATACTGTTAAGTGTTAGTTGTAGCATTTGCCTATTTGGTGCACTATTTTTTTTAGACTGTCGTGTTTTTGTAAGAGCTTTCTACCATCTATTAGTCTAGAAAGTCCTTGATGGTTTAGCATCAATTAGTAATATATAGCTACAGTGTGTATCAATGTGATGAAATTTCTTTGGTTGTTTAGTGAGCTCAGCAATATTTTAACTGTTCACACCAACTGATCTTTCACATTTAGAGCCAAAATTAGGATATGAAGACATTATCTTGGTCACTTGACTTTATCTTGGTCACATTCATGGTTTTATTGATTTTTCTTTGATCCTCTTGTTCTTTTTCGTGGATTCCCTATATAATTCCTCGTGCTTAAGGAAGAAGTTACAATTACTTATGAAACCACTGAGGACTTTTCTTTTTGTCTTGCATGTTCCTTCTCATTGCTAGGAACGAGTCCCTGCTTTGTGTTCTGAATGGATGCTATTCTGTTGGTTTGTACAGTTGTGCTAATCAAGTGCTTTCAGGCTTTGGATGCATTGCTTGATATGTCTGGTGTGTCTTCCGTTGAAAACATGGAAACAAATCATCAAAATGCTGGAAGGAATGACACCCGGCATCTATATATGTTCCCTGGAAATGGGTTATCAGTGGACAATCTGACTGCAGGGAATAGAAGAAGTCTACAACAGGTGTTTGCTTAGCACAGTTTAGTTTAATGCTCGCTCTCTTGGATGCTAAAGATATGAATTGATATTTTGTCTGGATGAAATTGAAACTTATCTTTATTAAGTGCTGTTTGTATTAGAAATGGGTGAGTTCACAAGACATGTTATTTTTCTAAAAAATGAATTTGCACAGTATGATATATTTATTACTACATCCATCACTGTGATATTTCGGAATGCATGTACTGAAACGTTGACCAGAAAAAGATGCAAACCAAATGAGAGCATACTGCTAGATAGAATCGGTAATCCTAGTTTGTCAGAAATATTTTTCCCTGTCTTTGCGTTTTTGGAACGATGATTAACACAATCAGAAAAAGTGTCCAAATATCTGTGTTTTGTTACCATTTTGATTTCTGAAACAAGAAGATAACATGTTTATTTAGGCTGTCAACATGGTTGATGTAATTTGCAAATACATGCAGATTTGTCATATATATCAACTTCAATGTGATTTTGAAGCTCTTTGCTGAATATTATTAGTTATTTTTGGTGTATTTTGGTCTCTATTTTGTTTCAAACCATGGCAGTTACGTATGGTAGCAATTAGCAGGAAATGCAATAAAACATTTGTAGTTATCTTGTTTGTTGTGGGTAGCCTTTTGTTCCAAACTAATGAAAATTCTAACTTAATTGGGAATGATGTTCTATTAAGTTTGCTATTTACCTCAGAATGGCATTTTGTGCTCCTGATTCCTGTTTGTGGTCATTATTTTTGTTATAGTTTCCATATGAAATCCTTTTTATAATATTCTAACTTTTAATTGATTCTACTCAGTTGACAGATGAGATATCCAACACTAGGTTCCAGTCTGAATTAAGACATGAGTTTTTGTGGGGTGAACCTCAGATCAGGTGAGCCAACACAGCTAAATGATTTAGCCAAATGTTCAGTTTACTAACATATTATGCTCAGTTAAATTTTGTTTGGCATTGCTTGTATATATTGTTTACTTACTATAGATGTAATATGCTGAAAGAAAAATTTAGAGAAATGGTGTTTTTCTAGGGATCCTTTCCTTCTTTTGTAGTTTTGGCTTTTGTCCAATCAGCTGTTGCATGGCTATAAAGATCAACTAGTAGGAGGATCTACTTTCCAGAAACCATAGGTGGAGTTGCTTTTTGTGGGGATTGCATTGGGGATATGAATATTGTAGTGACTATAAGGGATGCCAAATTGAGGAAGTATCTTCTGAACCCACCCAGCGATTTGGTAAGGGTTTGGGCCTCTGGGGCATGCAACTATCCTGTGATTTGTCCCATTTAGCCTGGGCTGATTCACAACCACTATTTTCTACTCCATCCGTTCCAAATTGTAAGTCGTTTTGGCTTTTCTAGGTACATAGCTTTTGTTCAAACATTGAAACCACATTTTCCTCTCACCTCTCAATCCATTGTCATTTTGGTGTTTTGGCTGTTGTCACCACTCCAAATTGAATAACCACCTCAATTCCCTCTTGTGCTATTATACTATGATGATGGCGACATCCAAGTGATCATAGATGATGAGCCGTTGCACATCTGACGTCCCACAATGACATCCAAGGGCTCTAGTCACCATAGGGCGTTTTGTGGATAAGGCCTAGATGAGTTGGTGGGAAACAAAGTAGATGTAGGTAGGATGAAAAAGAAATGCCAAAGTGACGATGAGATACAATTTTTTCCAGTAGTTTCGGTTCCAGTGGTGCACAAAGCGGCTTGCATGTTTGCTCTGAATTGGTTGGTTTAGCTTCACAAAGTCCTATTAAATTACATTCGCCACACTAGCCAAGGCTGTCTTGTGCACCTTTCATGCACTATGCCATGTTAGTATTTTTTTTCATATATGACGCAGGAGAGCTGTGTATCATTTCATTAAGAGAGAACTATATTAGTATATTTATGCCACTGGATTGGCATTTCGGTTTGGTGATTTTCTGGTTATTTTCTAAGCAAGCCTCATCTATCCCTTGAGCCATCACTGTGCTATGGCCACACCTAGTTTTTCTTCATCTCCTCGTGACTGTTTATTTTACTGAGCAAGCCTCAGTAACCCCTTGAGCATAAACATGCGGATGCAGCTCTTTATTACCCTAATAATGGTTGGCTTAAATTGTCCAGCTAGTTATTTCCAAGTCGTTAACGCCTTTAATTAGTGCAAGTATATATTTCGACCCTGGTTTTCATGTAACTGGCTGTTGTTTATAACAAGCTCGATATTTTGTTCTATAGCTATGCGGAGGCTGTTAAAGAGGCACCACATTCACCAACATTGCCTTCAAGATCAACTGTAGCGAAAGCTGGTCCACAACAAGTCCTCGATTCACTGTTTAAAATTCCTGAAATACGCACATATGAGCCAAGTTCTATGGACTGGAAAAAGGTAGTAAAGAAACTGCAAACGTTCAATTATACTGCCGCATCAAACAATCAAGAAAGGCCTAAGAATGGTATGTAACATTTGTATAATTGACCTAATCTATTTGGATTCAGTACCCCGTTGGTTGTTATCTATATGACCCGTTTTATATGTTCAAGTGCACATTAAAATAGAGTGCTGACTGCTGATCTATGGCTAAAATATTTCCTTTCCTTTCCGGTCCATCGGGACCTGGCCTAATCACTTCCACTGAAACACATTTTTTCTTCTAATTTATGTAATCAGTGTCCTTATATTGAAACCATTTTTGATAGATCTATTTGTAGCTACATGTATTATTCTCGTTCACCCATTGGCTATTACATTTTTTTAATTGTTGATGCAATTATTATTGCTTTATGTTAAGGGGATGGCTATCGTGAGTTCCGTGGTGTTGCTGCGAGGCATTATGATAAAATGAAAGAATACTATCAGAAAGTATGTTTTTTGTGCCGAGTTTTGCTTCAGTCAATTTGATCATAGAAGTTCCTTTTCCTTTTTGTTATTTCTTATTGTTTCCTCATTTCTCCCTGACAGGCTGCCCTGGCATATTCAAAGGGTGACAAGTCATATGCTTCTTACCTTGCTGAGGAGGTGAGAATTCAAACTGTGATATGCAAAGGCTAAGTTATCTGTGGCACTGTTGAAAAAACAGGAAAAGGAGGCTCTTGATCTTCCATGTTAAATGGCAGACGAGGATGTTCTAGCTGATGTGCTAATGCTGTATTCTTACAGCAGAAAAAGCTAGCACATCATATGCTTTTACCCATAACAAGGGTCCATACTTGAATGCTCCTGTTAGCTGTAACCCTATCATCCAAACAGTACATACCTGGTGTATGCAGGATGGAACTAATTCCTAAATGATCTAATGATGCTGTATTCCTACAAAACAAACCTAGTATAGCGGATAGCGGATGTCTTCTCCCAAATATGCAGCCTAATGCCTATAGCACCAGAACTTGGGAAGTACAGACAATTGCTACTTTGGTGTGAACTTCCAAGTTATAGTTTTTTGCTGGAATGCTCTTGCCAGCATTAACCCCATCATCAAACAGAACAAAATAAACAGTTGTCTGCACTTAGGTGGTTGAGTGTCAGTCACCCCCAAGTAACTCGAATAATTTATTTTCTCTTTGTTTTAGGGGAAACATTATCGTGAACTGGGTCGCTTAGAAGACGAGAAGGCCAGCAGGAATATATTTGAAGCCAGGTAATAATCACTCATTCAAATACTTTTGGTAACTTGGTTCTGACTTCTGAGATCTAATCTCTTGTTTGCAGAAATAAGCATATAACGAATACAATAACCATCGACTTGCATGGCCAACATGTCCAACAAGCTATGAACCTTCTCAAACTTAACATGATGGTTTGTATTTGCATGCCATGTGAGTACCACACAAGATTCGATACTGTAGTCTCTGCCAGTGCTTTAATTCATGCCACTCAGCTATCTATGTTTATCTAATGCTTTATTGTGCCTTTTTCTGTTTTTTATGCCTTTGTTCTTTAAACAGCTGTCTTACTGAGGGTAATTACTGGTTGTGGTTCAGAAGGTACAGGGAAGGGAAAAATAAAGCGCTCGGTAAGAAAGTACCTCTTTGAGTAGTAACTCTAGTTATTCTCATGTGCTGTTTCCATGGTAATTCTCAAACATTGCATATGTTCAAATTTTAATGCTATTCCTGAAGTCCTTCGTTGTAAATCATGTTATGACTCATAGCCAAAGCTTGCACTCTCAAGTCAGGCATTCTTGAACAGTTCGGTTTCTTGGCACACGTCACTTTCTTAGGCTCCTTTCTCCCCGCATGTTAAGCCAATTTTCTTGTCTACACTTGCCACAATTGTGCCATCGATTCTTTTGCCACAGTAGTGCCAAGCTACAGGTTGGCAGACTTTGTATTTATATTTATTCTCACAAAATGTGGCTAGCACAAGAATGCACTACTATTTGCAATTTGTATGCTGTGATTATATGTTTCAGTATAGTTGGATTTTACTGTGAAGGTCTAAACAATGTTCTTGTTGCAATTGATAGTTGAACTTTTGTAATATAAATGGTGACAGGTTATAGAGCTTGCAGAGAAGGAACATATTGAGTGGCGCGAAGAGAACTCTGGAACTGTAGCCCTTCGGCTTGGTGGGCCAAGAGAGTATCGGTTCCTTGAGCATGAAAACGATTCTGACTAAGCGGGGAAGCCTTTTGAGGAGACTTTAACATAGATTAACTTGTGATCTAATCTATGTATCCCCGTATTTATCTGTATTTATGTGTTATGATTATGGATGCCTAGGCTGTGATGTAGGCTGTAGTAGTTCTGACACACAAGTTCGGTGTAATGTTGATCCCAGGCTGCTAACTCTGTAATGTAGTCTGAAGCTCTGTTCACCCGTCCAGTCTAGTTGTTATGATGTGCTTCTGTGGACAGTGTAAGACAGGAGCTGCAATCAAGTGTAAAACTATCGTGATGTTTTGTTGAAGAATATCATGGTATGACTGATTGCCAACTCATGCTGTTCAAAATAAGCTTTCGCGGGAAGCATGCCTGAACCCCTTCGGATAATCAACTTGTTGACTGTAACTCATGTGATCTGTATCCGAATACTCCATACGTTCCAACAAACTTAAACGTTGTTTCCTCATAGTAAAAGAATCTTCAATCTGACTAAGTTTGTAGAGAAAATATGAATGTTTACATTTTCAAATATATTTATTATGGAAATAAATTTAATACTTCATAAATATTACTTTCTCTGCCAAAGAAAAGAATGTAACTCTTATTCTGGAGAGTCAAAAAGTACCAAGTTTGACCAAATATATATAGAAATGGACTTATATTTATTATGTGTAATAAGTATTTCTAGACGAAATATGTAATATATTTTTGTAATAATATAATTAAAAATGAATATTATTCTTTTTATAAAGCTAGTAAAACTTAAGATTTTATGAGTAGTCAAGAAACGACATTTAAATTTATTTTTTGGACTAAGGAAGTACTACATTTTTATATATATTTGATCAAACATGATATTGCTTGACTCTTTATTAAACAAGACTTACATTCTTCTTGGAGCATACTTCTCTCTCTGTCCAAAAGAATTTGATGTTATAGTATTTTTTAGACATATTAGTAGAAAAGAGAAATGACTTTAGTACCCTATTTTGTTACATGAGATTTCTTTAAAAAGAGGGATGTTACGGTTAAGTTTTCTAATTAAAGTGTCATTGCATGGTGGTATGTAGAGAAAGTGCATGTTAGATACCTAGAACATCAAGTTTTTGGGGGCATTTTTTAAATAACAGAACACAAGTTTTTTGACGGAAAGAGTAGGAAGTATTTGATAGTAGGTCTTTCACTCTTTATTTGAGTATGTGACATTGGCTCGTGTATTTGTAGTGAAAACGCTACCCAAGCCTTGAATTTTAAATTTTCCTTTTAACAATTACTCATACTAATTTGCATCCAAACTAGTTTTATTTGAATTTGACTTTAATAGCGCTTGTTTGGTGGGCTTCTGGAGGACCTCCGACTCTGACTAAATCCTGTCAAACGGTCATTCAAGAAACGGTTCCATGAAAAAACCCAAAAGAAATGGAGCCATTTTCCAAATTTCCAAACTATAAGAAAGCCGTCACTGAAACCGTTTTAGCTCCCGTTCCATTAAGGGTCCGTTCGGTCACTAGGGAACCGCTCCATGGAATAGTTCCTTGCCGGACTACTTACTTAATTTACATAGCCTATGAGCAGCAGAAATGATTCCTAGTAAATTTTTGCCTAACCCAACGGGCCCTAAACCAGATGCTCTACGAGAAGAAATATGCCGAACACTCTGCTTTCATTTTGCATTTGCAAGCCTAAATAAACGTGGACGACAGAACGGGCGTTTGTTGGGCCTTGGAGCATTGGAAGTTGCTGACATGTGGGCCATCGAGTACCCCTGCATCTGTATACGTTTGGTTTGGGCCTTTGGCTCATCTCCTCCTCCTGGCTTTTTTCTCCAACGAGTCTCAGCTTCTCCCCAAAGAAATTAGGGAATTTTTTTTTGTGTGCCACTTATAAGTTTTAGTCTCGAAAAAGTTTAGCGGTCTTCAAGCAACTTAAAACTTATGTTGTCGGGTTTGGGCTCTACTTGATTGTCAAGCTTGCGGTGTAAAAGTCAAAAATACCCTTAAGTCTAAATATGTCATTAATTTTTTTTGAGCATCTTAATAACTTCAAATGAAAAACTCAAAACTAGAAAGTTATAGATCTTGTCGAGATCTATAATTTTTATATAAAAATTATCTTCATTTAATTTCACAAAAAAAATATGATTTTTCTAAGATATATTAATCATATCAAATCATTTTTTTTGAATTAAATGAAGATATTTTTTATATGAAAATTAAAAACGACAGAACGGACGTTTGTTGGGCCTTGGAGCATTGGAAGTTGCTGACATGTGGGCCATCGAGTACCCCTGCATCTGTATACGTTTGGTTTGGGCCTTTGGCTCATCTCCTCCTGGTTTTTTTCTCCGACGAGTCTCAGCTTCTCCCCAAAGAAATTATGGCGGCCGTCGTTGCCGTTCTTCGCGCCGCCCTCCGCCGCGGCCGTCCGGCAGCCGCGGCGCTACTGCACCAACGTCCCAACCCCTCCGCTCGGAGCCTCCCGCCGCCTCCTCCTCTCGGTAAGGCCAGTCTCCCCTCCCGAGGCTAACCCCTAAACCCCCCTCAGTCCCACACGACCTCACCGTCCGCCCATCTCACCGTCCGCCCCTCTCAGGCCAGCAGGTCAGTCCCCACGACCTCACCGCGCCCCTCTCACCGCAGGTCAGGCCTTCCTCCCCTCCCGCGGCTTGGTTTCTCCGCCAGCTTCGGCTACTCCACCGCCACCGAGGAGTCGACACCCGCCGCGAGGCCCAAGGGCAAGGCCAAGGCCAAGGCCAGGAAGAACCCCATGAAGCAGTCGCGCTTCGACTTCACCAAGGTGGACGCCGCGCTTCTCCCCACCGTCATCCTCGTCGGCCGCCCCAACGTCGGCAAGTCAGCCCTCTTCAACAGGTGAGAGGCGTCTCGGGAAGTCATCCGTGGTTGGCTCTCGCATGTAGTTTCTGTGCAGCTCTAAGGCCTTGATTGATGCATACGTATTCATCTCAATCCACATGTGTTGAAGTGGAATTAAACTAAGTTCCATTCCATGCACTCCAACACATGTGGATTGAAGTGGATACACATACATCAAACAAAGAATAGGGGGCAGTATTTCCACGAACACCTTGGTCTCTCACCGCACCCCTAGCACAAGCAACTATTTTGTATGGCGCACATTTGTTCAGCTGTGCTGGCAGACATATATATCTCGACTCACCAGCATTGTATGCACAGATGCTCAGCTATAGCTGCCAGCTCCTCGCTCTTAGGCACATGATTCCATCGATGTTGCTACTATGAAATTATTCCTTCTTGGAATTTCTCATATTATGTTATATGTTAGAACACTGCTCGATTTATAATTTCTCATATGAACTGTTTTGGCATTTGCATTAGATTTATACGGAGGAGGGAGGCGTTGGTGTACAATACTCGTGGGGACCATGTCACTCGTGACATCCGTGAAGGAGTTGCCTAGCTTGGAGATCTCCGTTTCTGTGTGCTTGACTCAGCTGGACTTGAGACTGCAGCAACATCTGGGAGCATTCTCGCTCGGACAGCAGACATGACAGGGAATGTATTGGCTAGGTCTCAATTTGCCATTTTCTTGATTGATGTGAGGTGAGTGTGATAATTCTTGTTCTCATCATGGAATCAGTTGAACATGTGGTTACCTGTTGCCTAGTAAAATTGCAACTCTCTTTGAAGGGATGGTCTATAGCCGCTGGATCTTGAGGTTGGGCAATGGCTGCGTAAGCATGCATCTGGGATACATACGCTTGTTGCGATGAACAAGTCTGAGTCACTTGATGAGCATGGACTTCTGACTGCTGCTGCTGGAGAAGCACACAAGTTGGGGTTTGGTGATCCTGTTGCAATATCCGCAGAGACAGGCCTGGGGATGGCAGAGCTCTACGAGATACTTAGGCCATTGTTTGAGGAATACATGTTTCAGCTTCCAAACAGTAAGCCTGTAGAAATATATGCAATGGTTTGGTACATATGTCGTTTGTTTCGATCTTTAGTGACCAAGTGTTAATTTCTTTGACCAAGCATCTTTGTGTTCGTCTATTGTTATACTAATTGAAGAAACTAATACACTATTTTACCAGTGTAAGCCTGTGAGGCATTAGTATAAGCAGATATTAGATATTGATTAGGTATCAAGGTGACCTAAACAAACATAATAGCTGTATTAGCTATATTGGTCTCCATTTTAGTTCCACTGAAGTCGATGCATTGAGTGAAAACAATTACAGCATTAGGAGATTGATATGCTTCTGGTTTAAGGAACCCATTTTAGTGAGGTGTCTTTAGGATTTCAGCAGTATTATTGGTCCTTAGACAATGCTATACGTTTCTCTAGCAATAAGAGATTTATGAATCTACAACATTTGGTGCTATACTGATATTGAGGGGAACCATGCTTTGAACCTACGAACTGACTATTCAACATTGACATGTAATAGATGACCTCAACCAAGATGATCCTATCTCGGAGGTTGAAACTGAGGCCCATGAAGGTGATGAGAGCAAGTTACCTTTGCAGTTGGCAATTGTGGGACGTCCTAATGTTGGGAAGTCCACCCTTTTAAATACCTTGTTGCAAGAACAGAGAGTTCTTGTTGGTCCAGAGGCAGGCCTAACAAGGGACTCGATTCGGGCTCAGTTTCAATTTGATAATCGAACCGTGTATTTAGTAAGTTAACTGTTCTCTGTTAGTTTACCACACCTTTTGCAACACCATATATTGTATGGCTACATTTTTGTGCTTATATTGTGAACATTATTTGTGATATGTGTTGTAACACCTGCACCTTGGAAATATATATATATATATATATATATATATATATATATATATATATATATATATATATTTATTTTACTTTGTCTGCATTAATAATAGATATATGAGATTAAGGAAGTTCTTTCAAAAGACAAATATACTCATATAATATTTCTGTTTCCAAACTGAATATTTTGGAAGCTGTTGGTGGTCAAAGTTTAAAAGTTTGAATGGATATTTGTCAAAGTGTCAAGTATTTGTGACCAGAGGTAATAATAATTAAGTCTCGACTGTGCTTGTTTTCTATTGTGTATATTGTGCTTTTTCACCTCTTATATTGACTGTCTAAGTTCTGGGCTTCGGAATGCTAGAAATTTGTTTTGGCTCATCCCTGCCTCTTATTTGTATAAACTGTTGAGTGAAAAAGACTTGTCTACAACTGAGATAATTAGCAACACAGAAAGTTGACTAGAACAATAATTACATAGGCTCTACAACCGATACCACCAAATATGAGGATCTTATATGTCTATAAAGCTGGCAGCTTAGCCAAACTGAATCATATATTTCATTCATTTTGTTACTTGAGCACGCTAAACTTACCCAAAACTTATGATGCTTGTTACAGTGTAGGAGTTCACAGCATGGTGTTCATGCAAGCTGTTTCTGTGTGGCTTGTGGTCTAATCATCTTATTCATTTTCATTTTCGTAATGCAGGTGGACACTGCAGGTTGGATGGAAAGATCAGGGAAGGATGAAGGGCCAGCATCTTTGAGTGTTGTGCAGTCAAGAAAGAACCTAATGAGGGCCCACATTGTTGCTCTTGTGCTGGATGCTGAAAAGGTACTTACTGTGATTTTGATATCCAGAGCCAGTGACTTATAGGGTGTGTTAATAGTTCTGTGATTTACATATTTACATGGCACTAGACTTGCTGGATACTGGTTTAAGCATGTGTTATCTTGATGTTCTGGTGCCAGGGGCCCAGGGCCATGTTAAATCATTGAGCATTAAGACCAACCCCATGAGTGCTTTCAGTGTGTTGGGCTGATATTACCAATGTCTTCATGCATTTTAGATTTCATTTGAATTAATGTACAGTCCCATGATAAAGCTCTATGGATATGCAGATTGCTAAGTCCAAAAGTAGCATGAATCATCCAGAAGTCGTGATAGCACGGCAAGCAATAGAAGAGGGCCGTGGACTCGTTGTGATTGTCAATAAAATGGATCTCCTTAGAGATAACCAAACACTGTTTAACAAGGTTATGGACGCTGTTCCTAGTGAAATTCAGACAGTCATTCCTCAGGTAACTGTTATATTTTGTTAGTTCATAATATACGGGTTTTCAACCTTGAAGACATGATTACCAATCACAGTTAAGGGCTACTAATAACTCTTCAAAACAGAACTGCACTCTCTAAAACGGAACTGTTAAATCGTAATATGAATGCTCAGTTATTCTCTGCGTGAATACAGGAAACTTCTGATCATATGGGGTACCTCTCAAAATTGTAAATTATTTGTCTGCTGTTAACATTATGTTTAATAGGTGATGAGGCGGCATTCTTTGATTAACTCTACACTTTGGGTTATCGTGCACACAGATTTTATTTGTTTACTGTTGATTCAGTTTTATTTTGGTAATCAGCAGTTCAGCACAGATTCAGGTGCTTTGCTATCTTTACTGATGGAGCAATGTATATGTCATGTTCCTCGATTGAAAAAGCCGCTTGAGTTCTTTTGATTTGGTGCTCCGCCTATGGTGGGGCGCCTTTGGTGTCCCAGCATAGCAGGTCCCAAGCCCTGGTAAAGGAGGAGGGTTGTGTTAGGCGCGGCGAGCCAATGTAAAAACTTAGCCACTTTAATAATGGAGATGAAACCCAAAAGAATCCCATTGGGGCGTAACCCTCTTAGCGACGCGTCATGTCGGAACCCGGGTATGGTGTTAAATGAGCAAGGGCCGGGTCGTCACCCCCGTGACGCGCCGTGTCGCGATATGGACACGGTGTCAAGTGAGCAAGGATCGGGTCGTCGCATCCTTAGTGACGCGCCACATCGGCGTCCGGGTGTGATGCAAAATGAGCAAGGGTCTTCACACCTACCTCGGCGGGTGCGAAGGGTAAGGAAGCTAGTCGAGCCAACTAGGATCCGTTTAGGTAGCTGGAATGTAGGGTCCCTTACAGGTAAGTTAAGAGAGTTAGTGGACGGAGGCGTGTAAATATCTTATGCGTCCAAGAGACTAAATGGAAGGGACAAAAGGCGAAGGAGGTGGACAATACCGGCTTCAAGCTTTGGTACACAGGGACAACTTCAAATAAAATTGGAGTAGGAGTTTTGATTGATAAGAGCCTCAAGGATGGTGTGGTGGAGGTGAGAAGCAAGGGGATATGATCATCTTGGTTAAACTTGTCATTAGTGATATGGTCTTAAACGTAATTAGTGCGTATGCCCCCCATGTAGGCCATGATGAGAGTGCTAAGCGGCTTTTCTGGGAAGGTTTAGATTGCTTGGTTAGAGCTGTTCCTAGTAGCGAGAAGCTCTTTATAGGAGATGATCTTAATGGCCATGTAGGTACATCAAGTGCAGATTTCGAGGCGGTTCATGGGGGTTTCGGATATGGTAGTAGGAACCAGGAGGGAGAGGAAGTCTTAGACTTCGCCATAGCTTTTGATATGATGATAGCTAACACTTTCTTCCGTAAGAGACAGTCCCATTTAGTGACCTTTAGTAGCGGCCAGTACTCTAGTCAAATCGACTTTGTCCTTACAAGAAGGAGGGATAACCGAACATACGTGGACTGTATGGTGATACCTGGAGAATGTGTGGTCGCTCAACACAAGCTGGTGGTGGCTGACTTCCGCTTTCTGGTGCAAGCTCGTGGGAACAAATAAGCTAGGGTTGCTAGAACGAAGTGGTGGAAATTAGAAGGGGAGGCATCAAAGGTCTTTAATGAAAAGGTCATTGAAGAGGGCCCTTGGAATGATGAAGGCGATGCAAACAACATGTGGGAGAAGATGGCAATATGCGTTCGGAAGGTTGCTTTAGAGGTGCTTGGAGTGACCAAAGGGAGCGGATGTGACTCGAAAGACACTTGGTGGTGGAATGAAAATGTGCAAAAGGCTATTAAGGAAAAAAAGGAGTGCTATAAGCGCTTGTATCATGACAGGTGTGCAAACAATATAGAGAAGTACAAGGTGGCAAAGAAGACTACAAAACGAGCGGTGAGTGAGGTAAAGGGGCGGGCCTATGAGGATCTTTACCGACGTTTGAGTACGAAGGAAGGAGAGAAGGATATTTATAGGATGGCTACGGCTCGCGATAAGAAGACAAGTGACTTCAACCAAGTCAAGTGCATAAAGGATGAGAGGGAGCAGCTCTTGGTGAAGGAGGATGAGATCAGACATAGATGGCAAGAGTATTTTGATAAATTGTTCAATGGTGAGAACGAGAACACCACCGTTCAGCTGGACGACTCGTTTGATGACACTAACAGACGCTTTATGCGGAGGATTCAAGAATCGGAGGTCAGAGAAGCCTTAAAAAGGATGAAAGGGGGCAAAGCGATGGGCCCTGATGGTATCCCAATCAAGGTGTGGAGATGCCTCGGGGATATAGCTATAGTATGGCTAACCAAGATGTTCAACAATATCTTTCGATTGAACAAGATACCTGAGGAGTGGAGAAGAAGCATATTGGTACTAATCTACAAGAACAAGGGAGATATCTAAAGTTGTACTAATTATCAGGGAATTAAGTTGATGAGCCACACTATGAAGTTATGAGATAGAGTCATCGAGCAGCGCCTGCGAGGAACGACGCAGATATCAACAAACCAATTTGGTTTCATGCCCGGAAGGTCAACCACAGAAGCAATCTTCTTAATAAGACATGTTATGGAGCGGTTTAGAGAGTAGAAGAAGGACCTTTACTTGGTTTTCATTGACTTGGAGAAGGCTTATGACAAGATACCAAGAAATATTATGTGGTGGTCTTTGGACAAACATAAAGTCCCATCAAAGTACGTGACCCTCATCAAGGACATGTACAACAATGTTGTGACTAGTGTTTGAACAAACGATGGTAACACAGATTACTTCCCGATTAAAATTGGACTTCATCAAGGATCAGCTTTAAGCCCGTATCTCTTTGCCTTGGTAATGGATGAGGTTACCAGGAACATACAATGGGATATCCCTTGGTGTATGTTGTTCGCTAATGATATAGTGTTAGTGGACGAAAGCCAGGCGGGAGTAAATTGGAAACTAGAGTTATGGCAGCAGACCCTTGAGTCTAAAGGTTTTAGATTGAGCAAAACCAAAACCGAATACATGAGATGCGACTTTGGCGGAGTTGTACAGGAGGAGGGAGATGTGAGTTTGGAAGGTCAAGTAGTGCCTAAGAAGGATACCTTTCGGTATCTGGTATCGATGCTACAGAGGGATAGAGATATTGATGCGGACGTTAGCCATAGAATCAAAGCAGAGTGGATCAAGTGGCGACAAGCTTCTGGCATTCTCTGTGACAAGAGGGTACCACAAAAACTAAAAGGCAAGTTCTATAGAACGGCAATTAAACCGGCTATGTTGTATGGAGCAGAATGTTGGCCTACAAAGATTCGACATGTTCAACAACTGAGTGTTGCAGAAATGCGTATGTTGCGATAGATTTACGGTCACACAAGAATGGACTGAGTTCGGAACGATGATATACGTGATCGCCTAGAGTTAGCACCAATTGAAGAAAAGCTTGTCCAACATCGGTTGAGATGGTTTGACCATGTTCAAAGGAGACCTCTAGAGACACCAGTGCATTGTGGAGTCTTAAGCCAAGCTAATAATATGAGGAGAGGTAGAGGAAGACCGAAATTGACATGGGGGGAGGCAATAAAAAAATATTTGAAAGCTTGGGATATACCTAGAGATCTGTGTTTGAATAGGAGCACTTGGAAAGCAGCTATTGAAGTGTCTGAACTGTGACTTGGGGCTCTTGGTGGGTTTCAACTCTAGCCTACCTCAACTTGCTTGGGGCTGAAAGGCTATGTTGTTGTTGTTGTTTGTTAATAACTGGAGATGGTGTCTAAATTTCTTGGTCATTGGCATTTTCTTTTTTATCTTTCCAGACATGTTGCATGCATGCTGCCTCCTAACTAAGATCCACCCAAATATTTTTCTTTAGCTGAAAAGAATGAACTGCTACATTCTGAAATATGTTAGTTTGTTTCATATTCTTATGGAGTGCCAGATCGCAAAATGTTGATCTCCCCCCCTGCAGGTGACAGGAATGCCGGTTGTTTTTGTGTCAGCACTGGAGGGGAGGGGGCGGATTGCTGTGATGCGCCAGGTTATAGATACCTATGAGAAGTGGCGTTTAAGATTGTCAACATCAAGGCTCAACCGTTGGTTGCGTAAGGTAAACATCCTGCTTACATAAATTTTATTTGGTTGTTTGCTTGCGTGTGTGTGTGTTCTGTAGGAACACTCATTTAGATTGTGTAGATAATAAGAACTTAGATCTCATACCTTAAAAATTCAATTTAGATAGTGTAGATCCAGATGAGTTACCTATATCACAAGAAAGTAAATCTGTATCAGTGAAAAGTGGAATGGTTTAGGAGATCCTTCGAAAAATTTCAGTGCCTTCTAGTAGTTGACTTGGTATTTTCCAGTATCCATTTTTAAGATGACTTCTTATACTTTGTACATTCCCATGCCTACCACTCGGTTTGTTTTGACTGCATGATGTTCAAAGTTACTGACTACACTGGCCAGTCAATCCATTCTGGCATTTGTACCGATCATTACCTCTAATACCTTGTGATTATGCTCTAGGTTATGAGCAGACATTCCTGGAAAGATTCAGCTACTCAGCCAAAAGTCAAGTACTTCACTCAAGTGAAGGCGCGGCCACCAACATTTGTTGCCTTTATGAGTGGGAAGACTCAGCTTTCTGATACAGATACTAGGTTCTTGACAAAGTCTCTCAAGGAGGATTTCGACATTGGGGGAATACCAATCCGGATCGTACAGCGTTCTATTCCAAGAAAAGCTTCTGCAAAGAGCAACACAAGGAACACTGGGCCTAGGATTGTCAGGATGAAAACAGACAAACGAACAACGGTATCTGACCCCGCTCTGTCATAGAGGGCGAACGTCAGTAGCAGCCTAACCTGCAGAAGGGAAGTCATGTCTCGTGTTTGAGCTATATACTTCTCGGGGTTTAAGGTGCTGATGAAACAGAAACTACTGGGTTCCAGTCATGGTAATTAATGCGTCGCCTAGGCGACGCCTAAGCGTCCGAGCGGTTTTCCAAACGGGGCGTCACGGTCGCCGCGGCCTCCTCACGTATGGCGTCGCCTCGCAGCAGAAGGCGTCGCCTAGTCGTCATTTTCGCTGAGGCGGATGCCGCGGGACCGAGAAGCCGCTGGAAAGAGCGGCGCCGCGCGCTCGTGCGGGAAAAGAGCGGGGCGATGCACGCGCGTGGGAAAAGAAGCTGCTGCGCGCGTACACCTCCCGCCAAAGCCTCCCCAATCCCCATCGCGTCAGTTGAGAGAGGGAGAGGGAGAGGGAAAGGAAGGAGAGAGGAAGAGATAAGAGGGCGTCGGTGCACTTGAAATCCGGCGCCGGCGCGGGCACAGGCGACTGCCGCGCGGCGAGTCCGGTCCATCGTCGCGACTCCGCGCGACTCCGCCCCGTCCGCGACAGACTCCCTCTCCGTCCTCTACGAGCCGCGACCGACTCCGGCCCCGTCCGCAACCCCGACTGCTACTCTGCTCCGCGCGACTGGCAGGTATGTCCCCCCTCCTCTTTCCTCTGCTGCTCTGGCTCTGCTCTTCCTCCCCCTCGTTCCCTTCCCATGCTCTGCTCCTTCCTGTACTCTGCTGCTCTACTTTGCTTTCTCTGCTCTACTCCTTTCTCCTATTTATTCTATGTTAGAGTTTGATAGTTGGAATGGATAGTTCACAGGTGTGCTCCTTTCTGTCTGATGTGGTTGCCTAATTGCTGTGATTAATTAATATATGCTTGACTGCTTGTCTGTCTGATGTCTGAACTTTGCTGCATAAGAGGGGTTAATTTATTGATCTGTGTCATTGTTATATGTGCCTCTGATGCTCTGATTGTGAACACCAGTATAAAAATGCCTAATTGCCTATTAGTCTATTACATGTACATGTACTGGTTGTCTGCTAGTATTTTTTTGATACTTGCAATTGCCAACTTGCTAATTTTCTACTGCCTAGTGTCTACTGACCTGTGTACTTTGAACTGCTAGATTACTGTCACTGCTTATGATTAGATTACTGCAGGCTGCATCCAGAGTACTCAATCTCCTCAGTTTTTAACTACTCTCTTGGTTCTTTCTATGCAGCACAAGCCAACAGGAAAGATGGCAAGTCCACCTTCTGTCAACAATGAGAATTATGATCCTAAGGTAGACAAAGCAAGGAAGGCCAGCTCAAATGATCCAGGCTGGAAGTATGGATATTGGGCAGACCTCCAGAAGAGAGATCAGGTGACATGATGCAAAAATGTGTCCGCGGACCACTACTCCTATTAGGAAGGAGATGACATATTACTTGGAATCCAATAAGAGGAGGAGGCCATTGTTCATAGAAGAGGGTGATAAGGAACCAGCAGATGTGGTGGTGGTGGAAGCAATAGCAGCCCCAGCAGTTGGAGCTGAATCTGTTCAAGTTGAAGACACCGCACCTGTAGAATCCCAAGCTTCCAAGGTGCAACCAAGTTCAGGGACTGCAGCTAAACAAAGGCGTGCAAATTATTTATTCATGGACTGATGTGCAGAATCCCAAGCTTCCAAGGTGCAGCCAAGTTCAGGGACTGCAGCTAAACAAAGACTCTTATATAAGTTTATGGACTGATGTTATCATGTAATGATGATATATTGATATTTGCTTGTGTCTGTTGTTGCTAAATTTCCTTGCTTGTATCTAATGCAGCTTGCTGTTTGGGAGAAGAAAAGAGAGTTCAGATCATCAAAATGTATTTCACTATCCATATTTAATCTGATTACAAAGTATTTCTGTTACATAATTATATTAAAGAGTCACATGTTGAAACTTGTTAGGGGCTGTATGGCACATGGAACAAGACAACTAGAAACAGGAGGATCACTGCTATATGGGCTCCAGAATTGGCAGCAAAAAGATATGTATAACTGTATGTTTGTGCTGTCCTATGGAAGGTTAGGGTATATGTATGGCGTCGCCTTGCCGCACGCCTAATTCGCCTAGGCGTCTGGAAGGGGGTGCGGTGCCGCACCTCGCCTTACCGCCTTAATAACCATGGTTCCAGTCTAGACATTCAGAAACCTGAAACGATTGTTTCGACTCGGGGAAGTGGTACAAACACGTGAGCTAGCAGTTGGGCTGCCTGCATGTTCAAAAGGAAGAATGGTGTAAGAAACAAGCCAAGCAATCCTGACTCCTGGAGGAAAACCTACATTCTTGATTCTTCCGAACAAATAGGAAACGACCTCGGTTTAAATGTTTCAAAGGATGGCATGCAAGGCGGTATTGTTGAGCGTTAGTTAGTCAAGATCTGGTGAAGGGATGTTTTTTCGTGCATCCTTCGCATTTTCTGTACAGAAAATATATTAGAGTGATCTCTGATGGCAGTGTCGGAGGCTTACTGATCATCATCAGACAACAGCTGCAAGCCCCTTTATTTTTCTTTTCTCTGAAGGCAAGTCCTGTGTGTAGGGGAATTGCTATGGTTCTGCTTCTGATTGATCCTAGTTCTTGTATCATTTTCCTGAACAAAGAATGTTGCTATGAGCTTTCCAGAAAAGGAAGAGACAATTGCTATGCAAAAGTTTCGCAGTTGCTCTACTTGAATAGTTTCACCTGCAAATTTGTGACATTGTCCGTTGGCATTGGATAGTCGATCGGATATTCAGGTGTTTCATCCACAAGCAAAGCCCTGTGAGAGGTAGGTATACGCATCAGACAGACAATTGGTGGTGGAATCGGATAAGCGTGCGCTGTGGAGCACTGCCGGCGTGGCCCGTCCGCCCGTGCACGGGAGCAGAAATCCCTCGCGTACGGTACGGGAACGCACCCGGGCCCTTCCAAAGCCCAGATCCCCACCCAACCTAACAAAAAGGCACGCCCCACCCTGGCCACCCAGTCCCCACCGCCGACCACCAAGCAGGCGCCACCGTTCGGTCCAGTGGTCCACCATGCCGCGCTCCTCCTCCTCTTCGTCGTCCAACCCCTTCCACTCCCTCGCCTCCGCCTTCCCCTTCCTCTCCTCCCCGTCCCCATCCCCACCTGCCTCCGCCTCGCCCTCGCCCTCGCCCTCCGCTGGCCACCTCGCCGTCCCGCTCCTCCTCCCCGTCTCCTCAGCTTCGGCCTCGGCCTCGGCCTCCGAGTCCCGCCGCGGGCCGCAGCCGCTGCCGGGCGCGCGGATGGCCAAAGCGGGCGCGGCCGGCCGGGGTAATACGGCTGGCGGTGGCGCGGGGCCCGCGTTCGTGGGCCAGGTGTTCACCATGCTCGACCCATCCGGGAACGGGCTCATGGCCGTTACCACACGCTTCGAGCTCCCGCGCTTCCTCACCAACAGGTAATAGCCGCCCCCAACCGGTGCCCTGCACTCTGCCGTGTTTTCCACACTGCGCCTCTGCCGCCGTCTTATGGATAGGATTGCAACATACCTGTAATTCTGATGCTCCACCAAATCGAATGTGTTAGCCTGTAGCTCTGTACTGTGTGCACGCTAATTTGAAACCAATTCGACTCTTGTCATGTGAAGTAAATACACGCATCATGGTAATTTTGTGATCGGGATGTAGTATGTTAATCCACCGAGCAATGTGGGAAAGGTCAGGAAAAACATTCTCGCGGTTGACTGCAACATATAGTTATATATCATAGCTGAGCTGACATTTTAACCTCTCCCCCGATCCTGCTAATTGGCATTTTGAAATTTATTCTTGTTTCAGGACTCCTATGTGGTTCAAAAGGATGTTATCACCGTTGAAGAAGAGCGAAAATAGTCCAGTATTTAGGTTTTTTATGGATCTGAATGATGCAGGTAATGCTGTCTCTAAACGTTTCTCGTTCTCCTCTGCCTGATGCTTTTGTGATCATATCAGTTATTTAAAGCCTGTTCACACCAGAGCATAGAAATACCCAGTTAATATTTTTTCAGTTCTCTTAAGTCCAACCTTGGGAACTGCTTTCGAATAATGTAGCGGATTTAGATTAACATCGGGATTCTAGGCTATCATTTTTCTTCTTTTGCAAAAATTGAATATTCAAGTGTGGGCATGACTAACACTAACAGTTACACTTTTCCCTTAAGTCCAACCTTGGGAACTGCTTTCAGTTAGGGGTAATAAAAGTTGACTGAAGCCAATTCTCAGCTCTGGACTTCAGGTTAATAGGTGTCCTGAACCCAAACCTGAGTGCAAATCTTTTGGCACAGCGAAACTTGTATAATTAATTCTGAGGACTGTGACCAGCTCTGGCAAGACAAAAAGCTCCACAGTTGCTTATTGACCTATTGGGCAGGTTAAAAAACATCCACTTTGGTTCCTAGTTCTCTGGATGTAATTTACACTTTCTTTTGGTGGTGGTAGGTTGCACTATCTTGTACCAAAAAAGGATGCTTTATTTCTAAGCAGGATTTATTCATAATGCCGTCTAAAAGAACTTGATTTCTCAGCACTACCTTTTCTATAACAATGTTCTACAAATGTAGTTATCTCCAGCTTATTTAGTGAGTCTGAAAGGATTTGAGCTAATTTGCTTTATTGTTTCCAGTATCCTATGTAAAGCGACTAAATGTACCAAGCGGCATGGTGGGGGCTTGTCGCCTTGATGTAGCATACGAACATTTCAAGGTTAGTTGTGGTCGTTTTTCAAGGAAAATAATTTTCTTTTCAATTTTTTTTATGATAAGGGAGTTCTGATATTTTTTTTATTTGCTCTTGACTTTCTTTTAGTTTTATATTTTGTGTTGTGTCACTGCTGAGCTTTAGTGTCTAGTATTTTTTTATAGTATGGTAACACAGTTCCAGGTGCTCCTGTATGGGATCGAGTAACTCATCAGTATCAGTTGTTTTAGTCACATTAAGAACAACAAAGTCTCTGAATCCAAAGCAAATAGGGCTAAGCTATAGATATGAAACATGACAGGAGTCAGAGATATAGAGGTCATATACTTTATTCTTACATGATGTGCGTGTTAGGCTTTTCTACCCTTTAAAAATGAGGAAATATTCTTAAAATTGCATCCGTCGTTGCCTCTAGATTCTAGACTAAGGTTGACTCCATCGAACGTAAACTAAATTTTCTCTAGCTGCGAACATACGATAGTGATTACTGATAATGGCAAATAATCACATAGCACTATAATACTCTTTTGCATAGCATTATTAAAGGCCATGTGATTCAGTTCTCTGAGATTGTTAATTAAATTTTCTATTGTCTCATTGCTTTCAAGCAACTCAGCGACATGTCTAGATTTTATCTGTTGCTATCATTTACTTTTTGGCACATCCAGCTGTCATGACTCATGCGTCTACATTTCATACTTGATTGACACTGTATTATTATCCTTTTTCTTTTTCATTTTTATAATACTCCATCTGTCCCGGAATGATAATCTGAACCGTATTTTGATTGATCAGGGAAAAGTCGAACAAATTAGATTTTGATCATTGATTCCTCTTACTTTATGTTGTCATTTGCTAAAGAATCAACATCAGCTCAGAGGCATTTTGAATACAAATCCATTGATGCAAGTTTTATGTTCTAAACTTGTACTGGAGTATATAATTTGAACAATTGTTGATCAAATTTGTAAAGTTTGACTTTTACATGAATATGATTATCATTCCGGAATGGAGTGACACCAGCTTTTTTTTTGTTCGCAATATTTGTTACGTATGATTTGCACTCTGCATGTTCTCTTTGTAACATTGCAAATAATTTTTGTGCAGGAAAAGCCTCACATGTTCCAGTTTGTTCCAAATGAAAAGCAGGTATGTGCTAAAATTTCTCAGCCTACCTATAACTTAAGCATGCCGTTAGAGATTATATCGTTTCCCTTTCAGGTCCAGGCTGCCAATAAGCTATTGAAGTCACTTCCACAAAGGGGCAGAAGGAAAAAACTTGGTGGTGTTCCTGTTTTTAGTGCGCAAAACTTGAATATTGCAGTGGCAACAAATGATGGAATTAGATGGTATGGATCTTCCTGATGCCTCTTTGATTATTTCTGTAAATACTCTATATCATCTGTTAATGTTTTTTACTGGCATATCAAAGATGTGTGGTTATCCTCATAAAAAAAAGGTGTGCAGTTATCTTTTGTTGTCTTTTATGCATGCATGTATAATGTATTTCCTATGATTTGCACTCAGCATGAGCAGACATCATTTGGACATTGACAAGTCTAAGAACTTTACTCCTTAAATTTATTTTCTGTTTCTGTTTTAAAATTTTAATTTTCTGATTTTCACCTTGCCAGATTTATGTTTTTTATTTCTTCTTTATTTTTATTCAATTGTACTGATTTTCGTTTTTTGTGCAACTTTGTCACTGAGAAATGTCAAGAAGACGATTATGACATGTCCTCATATGGTCCACTGATATGTCCTCATGGACTATTCTGTTTGTGCTATCTATGGTCTGTATTATAGATAATTCTCTTTGGCACCAGGAAAACCTGATCATATATTTTGGTGCCTTAAATATGTCAGCGCAAGCCTGATATGATTCTTTATGCTCATAATGTCAGGTACACACCATACTTTTTTGATAAAAACTTGTTGGACAATATTCTTGAAGCTTCAATGGATCAGCATTTCCATTCAATAATGCAAAATCGCCATACACAACGTAGAAGGGATATTGTTGATGATAGTTTAGCATCAGAAATAATTGAAGAAAGTGCTGAAAGCTTGCTTGAGCCTCCAGAGGTATTATGACCATTTTTTGCACATAAGATGTCTTGAATTTGTTGTTTAGAGCAATATATCTTAATCCAATTTCTGGCTGACAGTACGAGGTACTTTTGATTTAGGTACAAGAATTAATGAATGAGATTGGCCCAGCTGGTATACCATTAAATGTTGTAACGAAAGCTGCAGAGATTCAGTTTCTTGATGTTGTTGATAAAGTTCTTCTAGGAAATAAGTGGTTGAGAAAAGCTTCTGGTATACAACCAAAGTTCCCTTATGTTGTTGATTCATTTGAAGAAAGGTGCAGACGCAATTGCTTCTCTCTTATTTCAGTTTTTCATATAATTGTTTGTTGGATGTGTAGGAAGATTAACTTACTGAGTTGACTTAAAGAGGCTTTGTTGTTGTTGTATCATACATGAAATAACTTTCTTGTCATAAGGGAAACATTTTCCTGATAATATCGTTTTTTGGTCGTGTTTTTAGTCTAGTTTGCAATTAATTTTTCTCATGGGCGAGTGGGTTATGGACATAGGTATTGTTGGTATCGATAATAAATTTTAATAATATGCTAAGCTAGCTGTTTGATTGGTATTTGTTTATTTTAACATTTCATTTGCTCTCCATTTTGAACCATCTATCCATAATGGCACTAAGTTTTGATTCATATTTATTTATTCCCCCCTTTTATTTGCTCACCATTGTGAACCATCTATGTTTATATTCTGCTCACATTTTTCAGGACTGCTGTTTCGATTGCTAATATTGCTACTACCAGCAGTTTAACTGCTTCAAATGATGACGACTGTTGCCAGAATAATCAACAAACTCAATCTTCTGAGCCAAGTGTTGACAGTGGCAGCTACAGAAATCACAATAATGAAGATCATAATCACTTTCCATTTAGCAATCTGCTTCCAAATATATGGCCAGGGCATGACAGAAAGTTCAAAGCACAAGAAAGTGACAATAAGTTTAGCAGGTTTGTTTAATCAATACTGCTTGGTGTCATGCACAAATGCATTAACTATGTGTCCTATGCATTTAGTTGAATATCTTGTTATCTTGATAGAGTTTCCAATCAAATTTGGTAGTGGGTCAAATATGTCAATAATATAGAGCCTAAAAAAACTTTTAACATCATAATCCATTCAGTTGCTGCTCCACTTATCTGGTTATATACAAGGATTTTTTTATTAGCATATTTTGAAGCCATCTCTGTTTGGTACCAGATATGATGCCGACGTGAAGAGTAATTTACAAGCAAACCCTCTCCTTCCCAAAATCACCATGGTTGGCATCTCAATGGGTGATGGTGCACAGATGAGCAAAGCTAACTTAAAGAAGACAATGGAAGACTTGACAAAAGAATTGGAGCAAACGAGTGAAGAAAATATGTTCGGTGATGAGAAAGACCCACTTTTTGTTGCCAACGTTGGTGACTACTCAAGGATAACAAAGATTAGCTCTGCATGAGGCTCATTGACTGATAGACGACAGCAGGGGTGTTCTGTACAGACTGAACTTCTAACAAAGTCTACAGTCCATGATACTGATCTTAGAGGGCTCTACTGATAGATGCAAATTGGAGGTCATCAGATCACATGAACATTCGATTGTCGACAGTTCTGACTTTAGGAGACTATCCAATTCCAACAAGAATGACCTGCACTGAATGGTACAAGCCAATTTAAAGTTTCAGAAATGATTTGTCAAAAGGATGTTTGTAAATAGAAAAGTTGCTTGTAGTATGTGCAGCATGCAGGCAGGCGTTGAAGATTTGAAGCAACATATGTTCAGAAGGTACTCTTTTTTTTTTAATGAGAAGGTACTCCATTGTGGATGGATAGTTTAATTTTCTTGGGCACATACATATTTGTAAAAAAAGGGCGTACCCAATCTGTGCGGGGTCTAGGGAAGGGTGTTAGTGGCAAGCCTTACCTTCGCCTGTGCAAATGAGACCGTGACTCGAACCCGGAATCTTTCGGTCACAGGCGGTAAGACTCTACCGCTTGCACCAGGCCTACTTCACATTTTATATTATTATATATTAACTTTACAGCTTGTTAAGGATCAAGGCGTCTTGGTGTAAGCTAGACCTAAAACACTGATAAATGTTATCAAAGGCTGCACTTTATTACATCGGGGCGTGTCGGTCTCTTCCTTGGTGTCAGAGTTTTGACCTAGGCCTATACGCTTGGACCTGGAGTGGTTGGCGGCGGCATGGGTCTCCGTCGGGCGAGATGGAGTCCGCGGCCTTGGGTCGGGCGAGGCGGAGTCCTCCCTAGAGGCTGGGCGAGGCGGAGCACACACCCAAGGGTGACGCGAGGCGGAGCGCAAATCCAAGGGTCGGGCGAGGCGGAGCCCGCGGCCTTGGTGTCGGGCGAGGCAGAGCGCAAACCCAAGGGTCGGACGAGGCGGAGCGCAAACCCAAGGGTTGGACGAGGCGGAGTCCTTCTCCAGAGGTCGGTCGAGGCGGAGCCCATGCGCTTGGGGGCCGGTTGGAGCCGTAGTCGTGCTCTTGACTATTCGGATGAATTAATATTGATGACCATTAGCCCATTCTCTTCGGATATCCTAATATTGGTCCCGACAACCGGAGAAGCCAGCGAAATGTGGCTCCGGCTGCTCCCGTTGCTACAGTGAGAGAAGGAGATGAGAAAGGAAATCGAATTCAGTGAGCAGTACATGAACAGTGTATCTACAGTGATATGTCGGGGGAGCCGGAGCCGTCGAATAAGGCTCGTTTGGCCGGGCTCTGGCGGCTCCCCGGCTCCTGCCTGTCGGCTTCTGGGCGGCCGACAGGATGGTACTGTTTACCGAAGCCGTTTTTCTCTCTCCTCCTTTCCTCTCTCACTGACACCACTGGAGCCGGAGAAGCTTGTTTTTCGGGCTCCACGGCTCCGGCTCCCGTTGGCACCTGTCGGCTGCTGGGCGGCCGACAGGATGCTACAGTGCAAGAGCCGGAGCCCTGCCAAACGGGGCCAAAACCAAACGAGCCCGTAGGAGTGAGAACGAGGCTCTGTGTTGGTGCCACCTGCCCACGCATGCACTCACGTACACTGTCTCGCAATGGTGCTAGGGTTTATATGCTCTTCAATCAGTTCATGCATTCCTTTCGAGGAGCGCGAAAAGGACAGCAGTGCTCAAGTTTTTTTTTCGAATATAAAATTATGCAGGCGTGAGAAATGTAGAGTGTGACTGGCTGAAAACACTGTTCCGGCTAAATTGTTGTGAGAGAAACACTGTTCCGGCTGAAAAAAGAAAACGACCAAGCCGAATATGGGGTAAACCGAACGGGGCCAAATTTAAGGTTTTCTAAACGACATGGAAACGGAGGAGATCCTTTGCATAGGAGTATGTCAATATCTGCACATATATATATATGATATGAGGTGAGTGATGAATCTTTTCAGAAATAGTGCAAATCACATCACATTATGAATAAGCCAACTTGTTTAATTGATTTCTTCCATGACGGCATGTCTCTTAATTATTAACAAATCATTGAGCCGATTCGGTGCTCATCCATGACGATCCTCCTCCAGAACCAACAATGCACGCAAGCAATTACCCCCAATTCAATCATTCAATTGATACGTGGAACAATCTGTAGTAGGCTTCACTCTACCACCATCTTGTAAATTGCTTTTCACCCAGTTCGGCCAGCTCACCAGTTCTTGCAGGAGTTTGTTGTCCTTTCTCGAATGCTCCCGGGTTCAAACTGTTCATATATATATACAAAGGAGAACCAAATCCACTGAATAATTAGAAGAAAAAAAAACGATTTGCATCCATAGGTCCTAATCCGGTCACAGTTGCATCCATCAACGGGGGAAAATGACTAATAAAATGAGATCTCGACCATTCCCGATGCCCGTCGTCGAAGAGGCCCGGCCGCGCGCGGCAGCTCCGCCCGCTGCCAGCGGCGACGTTGGTGAACCATGGCTACTGGCCGTCGATGGCAGCGCGCGCACGCGTGCCTCCGCAGTCCGCACCCACGGGCGTGCATGCATGGTGCGCGCGCGCGGCGGGGCTCGTCGTCGGCAGAAGCCCAGCTAGCAGTCCAGCAGCCAACCATTCGATGCATGGCGTCGGCGTCGGCGACCTACCGGGCAATCAAATCAAGAGGACCCACGCCGTCTAAAATATGCACACTGTTCGCTTGGGCTGGGCCTATAATACATACTTTTTCAGTCAATAAATAGTATTTTTTCCTCATACTAAATCAGTTAATAGTATTTTTAATTATGGCTTATCAGCCAAATAAGTCCGAAGCAAAGGGAGCGACGATGACGATCGGGTACGATCGGGTACAAGATGAGGTGAGGTAGTTGGTGATATATATGGGGGCCAGTTGAATCCGATGGGTTTGCTAGTATTTTATAGCCTGCAGGTGGAGTCTCCAGCAGCCAGCAGCCAATCAGACAGCAGAGCTTGCTTTGCTCTGTTCTTTGTTGGGAGCAGCCTCTAGGACTGGGAGAGAGCTAAGCTCAGATGTGCAGGGGCGCGTGTCGCCATAGCCCGTGACCACACGCGCGCGAGGTGTTGGCAGATCGTGCTCTCCGGAACGTGCACCATTGTACAGTCGCCGGCGCATCCGTTGAGTGCTGTGTGGGGCCTAATCCTAGTTAAGCCAGACAGAGAGTTGTCATGATCAACTCAGGGTCGAGTTCAATGTTTCTGAGCAAGGTTTTTTTAATGGTACAACTCGATACACACAACCCACACATTTCACATAGTCAAAAAAAAAAATCTATACATTTCACACCCACACCACACTTAGGGTCGAGTTCAAGCAGTGTACCATGCAAAAAAAGAGATTGGAAGGCTCGAGCCTCCAGTGCGTGGGAGACGTGTGCGTACGCATGCGTGTACTCTAGTTTTTCTGAAAAAATACAGAAAAAGGTGTGAACCTGGCATCCCGTTGAACAGTCCCGCTACTGGACCACAAGATTTGATCAATTAAAACCAATTTTCGGAGCAAATTTTTATACAGGAGGGGAAGAGGGGTGCACCTGCATAGAGTATTGAAGTGGGCCGTGGAGGCTACTGGCCAGGTCACGAGACCAACATAGGGGTGGGCGACCCAGCCCAGAGAGCTTCTAGGTTCGTTTTCGCATGGTACACTGCTTGCTTCATCTATGACTTGCTCTATGGACTAAGGAGGCGTTTTGTTCCTCCTTTTAAACTTTAGTCGCTGTCTTATCAGATATTTGGGCACATGTATGAAGTATTAAATATAGACTAATTATAAAATTAATTACACAGTTTACGAATAATTTGCGAGACGAATCTTTTAAGCCTAATTAGTCTATGATTTGACAATGTGGTGCTACAGTAAACATTTGCTAATGATGGATTAATTAGGCTTAATAAATTCGTCTCGTGGAGCCTGACAGATTCTGTAATTTGTTTTTTTATTAGTATCCGAACGTCCCATACGACACCCTCACGTGACACTTCCTAAATTTTAGTCACGGGGTCCAAACACCCCCTAATACAAATGTGGAATGACTCTTTGGAGAAAGGGCTTCTAGTGATAAGGGAGTAATTAACCCTAGTAGAGGGCAACCATGATTCTTGATGAACGAATGCAACAAACTCTTCTACGTAATATAAAACTGATATATCAACCGTTCTCATGTCAAGAAGAGCTTGCACTTCATCCAAATTAGATATTTATACTGGGTTTGATAGAATCCAAGTGATGTATGGTTCTACAAGAAAAAAAATGATTTTCACATAGTAAATAAGCACTAAGGATAATAAATTGATTTGTGTTGCTTTAAGCGCATGCTAAACCAAAAAGACTTTTCTTGTGTTAAGGTTCATTCCATTCCTTCCTACATTTTCGAGTACATTTCAATGTACTCATCTTTTCTCTTTGTTTCCCTTGCTATACCACTTATATCTTTTTAATTTTAATGTACTCCGAAGTTAGTTCTCGAAGACGGTGTCAAAGCTAATTTAGGGTTGTTGTAACCTGGTCCTTTCTAAGGACCATTGTGTAATTTGGCTGCTCATATATATATATATATATATATATATATATATATATATATATATATATATATATATAATATGTGTCCTTGTAAAAAAAAAGCTAATTTAGGGTTTGATTGTTTAAGTTTTCTGAGAGCTTTTAGACCTCAACTTTTAGACATTTCAAGCCAAAAAGCTCTCGGAAGCCGAAAGCCAGAAGCTCACTATAGTAAGCTTTCAAGCTTTTGGCTTATAGGAGCTATTTGGTTTTTAGAAAGTCCAAAAGTTAATGAGAGCTGTTTGGTTTTTAGAAAGTCCAAAAGCTAGTCTAAAAGTGTTCGAAAGCTCAAACAAACTTCCCTTAGTGTACTCCCTGTTGAGTGCCTATGGAAGACGGAAAACATCTCCGCTAAAACTCTATGTTGTAATTTGTATTTAGACACTTAGGTCATTGTACCTTTGAGCCGAAAACGATTTCGATTTATTCATTATAAAAATGATTTCACAGTGTAACAGGATATGTGTGCGAGCGGAGTATGAGGTTCACGGAATTTTCTCGGACTGGGTAAGAAGTCCTCTATTTTAAAGCGAAATGCTCAGAAGGCGCATGCTATCGTCCTCTGCCTTAAAGCGGAATGCTCCGGTGACGTATGCTATCCCCACCGAGTTTTTTATTAGTATAGCCATATTTATTTGGTAATGTTATTATTTTATATATCTGGTTAATTTTTTAAATTGTTTAACTCTTTGCTTGAAAGCGAGAATTCTAGTTTGTTTCCAAATAGATTTATTATAAAATATATTTCATAACTAATATAACCATATTTATTTGGAAGTGTTAATATTTAATATACTTAGCTAGTTTGAATTTATTTGACACTCCTGGAAGTGAGAAAGCATTTTTACAAGAATTACATCTCTTTTCTAATGGAACGAGTAGTTGGGGTCGCGGTCGCTGCAGGTAGCCGCCGCTGGCGCCTAGGCTGCTCGCCCTCATGGCGTTGGCCCATCTTATTTGAGCGTCAATAGCGCCCGTCCTCACCGCCCTCATGTTCTCGGCAGCTCGGCGCTCGCTCTTGCTCTCTGCTGCGGCCGGCGAGCTGTCATCGTACGTGGTGTACCTACGCGCACGCCATGGCGTTGGGGACACAAGGGGCCAAGGAGCTCGAGGTGCTGGAGCGCGATGCTGCCGAGCCAACTGTATGCGGCCTGCTCACCCGTGTCTTTGGCGGAGAGTACGGAGTACGGACACGAGTTGCAGTTCGTGCCTTTTTCTCAGAGTCTGTCTACTACACAACCATATGTTTTATACAATTTCAACACATGAATTTTTTTGCACCATAAGATTAAGATCCAATAGCCTCCACCCTTCTTCTACCTCAAGCCTTCTTCCATCTTCAAATAATCACAAGATCACAGATCCACGTATCACAGGAAACAATTTTTTTCTATGGAAGAACAAATCATAGATCCGCCGCCGCAGGTCGCGGTCGCTGCAGGTAGCCGCCGCTGGCGCCTAGGCTGCTCGCCCTCATGGCGTTGGCCCATCTTATTTGAGCGTCAATAGCGCCCGTCCTCACCGCCCTCATGTTCTCGGAATTACATCTTGCTTCGCTGCTTCTGGCGGCGAGCTGTCATCGTGACGTGGTGTACCTCGGCGTCAGCCAAAGACGCGCGACGCCATGGCGTTGGGGACACAAGGGGCCAAGGAGCTCGAGGTGCTGGAGCGCGATGCTGCCGAGCCAACTGTATGCGGCCTGCTCACCCGTGTCTTTGGCGGAGAGTACGGAGTACGGACACGAGTTGCAGTTTCTTTTTGTCACCGGTGAGAAAGAGAGGGGGAAAGAAAAATTCCATATGTTTTTTTTCTAAAATACACGTATGTTGTATGACATTTCTGTTTTCTTATTTATTCATAGTAGTACACTGGTAGTAGTACACATCATTTTTAGTTCTAGCTACTCAGCAGCACTGCAGAAAGTAGCAACGTGACTCGTGACAGGCTCAGAGAGCGGTTACATTACGTATATGTAGCATGCAGATGAGTCGTGAGCAGTCGCTGAGCGCAGCAGATCGCTCAGAAGATGATGCTGGAGAGGGTGGGGAGCTTGAGCTCGCCGGACTTGGTGAGCGGCAGCGTGAGGTTGCCGACGACGGGGAGGTCGACGGTGAGCCCGACGCGCATCTCGTAGTCGATGTCCCAGTCGCTGCCGGCGTCCCTGACGAGGCTGGCCAGGAAGTCGTAGGGCACCCGGACGGGCACGTCGAGGCGCGTGGTGGCGCCGCCGCCGGCGAGCGACCCCGGGTCGGGCACCGTCCCCGACGCCACCTCCCGCCCCGCGCTCCACAGCGAGTAGCTCAGCTCGCACACCGGGATGGCGTGCGAGTACGGGTTGCGCACGTCCACGCGCCCCGCCAGCGTGGCGCCGTCGCGGCCCACGTGACCCACCGACACGTCGGCCAGCTCCGCCTCCGGCTTCTGGATGTTGGCCAGCTTGTCGGCGACGAACCCCTTCGCCTTGTCCACCAGCTGCGCCATAATTGTCTATTGTTCCCTGTATGTATAGAGAGGGAGGTAGTACTTGTCACAGCCGTACCGGCCGGCCGCCGCAGCACGACGAGCTGCCCTTGCGCCGGCGACGTGCTCGCTCTCGCTGGTTCTTCTTGTCGCTAGGTGCTGTGCAGTGTGTGTACTGGTTCCTCGCAAGTGATCGGTCGGCAGTGGAGGACGAGATGTCGTGATGCGACCGCTGAAATAGGTGCGCCGGGGGTATAGCAGGATGACACGTCGGGGGTTTGCGTGTTGGCTGCGTGTGCGACCGCTGAAATAGGTGCGCCGGGGGTATAGCAGGATGACACGCCGGGGGTTTGCGTGTTGGCTGCGTGGCACCACCACGCGATGAGTCTCCAGCTAAGGGACACTAGAAAATAAATTTGGCGTGATTCGTGGCGTCATCCTGTTAATCGTTTTGGCACCCACTGCCGTAGTACATGGCGATTCTAGCTTGCCATTTTAAGGTGTGACGGACATGCGAACAGGGATTACGTGGGGACAACCGATTGAGGGCCAAGACATGTCCGCCGAATCCCTAGCCCCCACCCCCTCCTCCTCTCCCCTCTAGAGCTCCACCAGGGACCGGCCTCCCCAAGCTGGTGCCTCCTCCTCCTCCTCCTCTCACCTCGCGAGCTCCACTAGGGACCACATCTCCCCGAGAGCCACCTCCTCCCCTCCTCCGCCCCCTCCACTCCCCAATCCTCACCGCCAACTCTCCCCCGTGAGGCACCATCTCCCCCCCCCATCTCCCAATCCCTCCTCCCAGAGAGCGGCGGCGAGGCACCATCCGCCACGACACGCGGCCTCCTCCCCTCCGCCTCGCCGGAGACCTCGCCCGCCCAAGCAAGAGCCACCGCCGTGGAGCTGGTCGCCACGGAGTCCTCCCCACCTCAACCTCCTGCCGCGCCGCGCGGCTCCGGGGTCCTGGAGCTGGTCCACCAGAGTCCCTCCCCACCTCGGCTGCTATGGAGGATGACGCCCACGCCGCATGTAAGGTGTGAAAGCCACCTCGGCGCCCGCCCGCAGCAGCTGCTGCGGCCGCCGCCGGAGCGGGAAGCCCCTGTGGGGTCGCATCTCGAGCCACGCGGCCCTCATCTAGGTCCGCGCCCTCGAGGTCGGGCGACACGCCGCGGGGTGGCCGGGCGCGGGTCCTCCACCATGATCCACCACCCCGTTGTCGCTCAGGCGGTTGTCGCCATTGTGGCCACCACGCCTAGGTCAGCGGGCACAGCCGCCGAGGCGCCTTGTGCTCGACGGTGAGACGTCGCCTCGATTGGGAGTGGGGGCGAGCGAGCCGCGTGCGCACGCTGCGCCTTACCGGGCGGCTGGCACCTCATGCCTCCTACAGCCCCTCCCCTCTCTCACCGGACGCGGCCCTGTTCCACCCAGGTTGCCTCTCTGGTGGGTGCACGAAGAGCCATCGATGGGCGGACGACGACGGCGATGAGTCCGACAATGACAACCCTACAACCTACCTCGACGCCGTTCATCGCCCGACAAAGCCGGTAGATGCGTCCCCGCCGCGCGCCCAGACTCATCCGATCATGACTCGAGGTCATGGCGTGGTGGATGCTGGATGGCAGGGACCTGGGCGAAGACGGGGGAGACGCAGCCGGCCGCGCCTCCAGCTGGTGGACGGCCTGCCTGCTCGGCCATTGGATGGTTGTATCCCTACCCGCCAACGCCTTGGTCGTCGTGGAAGGATCTCCGCCCCAACACCGATGGGTGGCGGGAGATCCTCCCACAGCAGGAGAAGCAACTTGTGACTGCCTCAGTTGAGCATCGCCAAAAGCAGCTCCCATAGGCACGGAGGATCCCCGCAGAGCTTCACAACAGATGCTTTAACTGTCTCTCCTACTCGCACCGCGTCGCAACTTACCGGTTGCCACAACGTTGCCTGCGCTGCAACGGCTACCGCCACCTCACCAGGGACTGCAAGCGGTACAGGTCTGCGAAGTTGGCGACGATGGGTGCCAACCTACCACGACACTCTGCTCGTGATGACCCTCCAGCCTCCTAGGCGCCACACGGTGGTCCACCAAGCTTGGATGGGGCTGCGCATGGGGCCATGGAGGGCGCCGACAGCACCTGCCGACGCCGACGCCGCCGGAGTAGGCCGACGAGGGACATCAGCAGGGGCGCGCTTGCCAACAACGCCGCTTCTTCTGCTACTACACTTTGCTTCCTTAAGCCAGATCTACTAGCATTGGCGTTGTGTGCGAGCGCGGGACCTCCCGCATGGGTTGTCTAGTTCGACCCGATGTTGGAGGAGCTTGCCGCCTCGCTCGTCGTGAGTCAGCCAATGAGAGCAGCAACACCTGAGTGTCTGCCTGCTACGACAGCCCCTCAGGAGGTTGAAACACAAGTGGCGGACACCTGTTCCTCGGCGACGGCTGCTCAGTGGACGACAGACTTGTCTCTAATGTCGCCAGTGCAGTGGCCGCCATAGCTCACGCCACCACGAGTAGGAGCACCCAGCGTCGCAGATGGTTGCACCACCCCAGCGATGCGACTCCCACACCACGCGAAGCTGCCCGGCGTCTCGTACGGTTCACTGAGGAGGTGCAGCTCAAGTGAATGTCACCATTAATCGCCAGCCCACCAAGGCAGAAGGTGGCAACCACAAGGCAACCCCTGCCAAAACGGAGCAAATGGATTGCCGCTCAACCGCTGGCACACATTCTGACCTCCAAGCGGGGCGAGGTGCTCCTCATGCAGAGGATGGGTTTTGCACCGCCGGCAACTCCAATCTCATCCGTGTCTAAGCGAGCATGCGACGACTTATTCGCAGGGAACTTGACGTTGAGCGAAGTGGAAGCACTGGACGTGCTGTTCTCGGCAACCAATGCTAGACTGGTAGAAGACTCTTCTCGGATGACGGAGCAGGGTCGCGCGGCCAGTAGCGAAGACACCTAGCTCCGTAGGTTACTACGCTGCTCTTAGTTCGGTTGTTTACTTTTATGTAATATCGAAGTTCGAAACAATCTGCTAGGAAGGTCCAGTCACAACTATAAGACCTCCTAGGACGCTCATTAGAAGCATGTCATGTGTATGGTTAAACTCTTCTTCCTAATTACAATAATACACAAATCTTTTACGTATTCGAGAAAAAAGGTATGATGACATATGAGGTCATTTGAACCTATGAGGCCATGCTTGGGTCATAAAAAAACGAGAATAAAGTAAAAAAACGATCCAAACACTTATTCTATATTAATTTTTTTATTCAACTATTCTCTCCATTTTAAATTGTAAGTTTTCTGTCTTTTCTAGGTATTTTACAATGCACTTAGATATACATTATGTATAAATATATTTTAAAAATAATACATGTAGAAAAGTCAGAGTTAAATTCTACCTTTTTGAGACTTTTACTAGTATCCATATTTTTAAAACAATAAGGGATAGACGTCTCCTATATATAGTCCTATTTTTAATCTAGTATCCATATTGTACATCACTATAAACAATAGAGAATAAGGTCCAAACAAATCCTTAGGCTATGAAAACAAGATCCAAACAAGATCTTAAGCTAGTACAGATGTTTCAGTGTATCTTTTTTTTTCTTAAAACTGGAGTGTTTTTAGCCCCTACAAGAGAGAAATAAAAAAAATGCCAAACAAACCAGCACAGGTTATTTTACCGAGAGAGAGAGAGAGATACATAGAGAGAGAGGAACCGAACCAGAAACAAAGAAAGACAAAGAAGATAAGAAAAGTAGAGCAGTCTAAGGGGGTGTTTCGATCCGATGACTAAAATTTAGGAGGTATCACGTGAGGACGTCGTATGGAGTGTTCGGATACTAATAAAAAAACAAATTGGCTTTAATCCGTCAAGACGCGCCAAGAAAAGGGAAAATTTTTGTTCTATAAATTGAAACATCACAAGAATCGGAAAATATCATTGTCAAATCATGGACTAAATAGGCATTAAAAATGCAAACGTTAACTGAAAGTAGCATTCCATCACGTTGTGTAATTAGTTTCATAACGGCGTCTATATTTAATACTCCATGCATCCCAAAGGCAGATCGGAGCTCGTTGCCACGAAAGCGTTAGATTCCAGAAACCAAACACCACGTCGAAAAGCTTACAACTACACCAAGCTTGAGGGCCTCAGCCGCGCCATTGCCCGGAGCTAGGCCCGCGTGGCCGCGCTCCAGTTAACGCCGTGTCGGCGCCACCCATGGTGGACCCGATCACGGCGGCGCGTCCTGGCAAAATGGCTTTCCCAGCAGCGCATATTTTTATGGTGGACCTGGCCATCGGAGACGCCGCCTTTGTTTGACTCCGACCATCTTAAATCATTGTGAGCGACCTCATCTGGACGTAGTGCGCGCCCTGCCTGCTCTGCGCCGACCAGCCCACGCCCTACTTTGACAAAAAGAAGTCCGCCACGTACCGCGCCGTCCCGTGCCGGTCGTCGCAAACAAGGCCTAATTGATCCAACCCCTCCTGCTTTTAACTAAGAAGAAGTGAGCTTCAATTCCTATCTCTACTTATACGGCGACACCGCGTCCACATGCCAGCGTCCTCGAATACGAGACAATTCTTCGTTAGAGCGTGCCAGCTCGACCAAGGTCAGGGCAGCTAACGTCTCCTTCGGGTGTGGCAGTCTCAACGCGGGTGACCTCGCCAACAACTCCGGCATGGTCGGCTTCGGCCGTGGGAGTATGTCGCTATGAATTAATCACCGTCCAGGTTCTCCTACTGGAGACTAATCTCGCCGACGCCGAGCAGGCTTTACTTAAGCGTGTTCGCGAATCAGCATCAACACCACATGGGTCGCCGGTGCAGTCCACGCGTTCGTCATGGACCGGCGCTGCCCAAATGTACTTCCTGTCGGCCAACGGCATCAGCCTGGGGACCAAGTTTCGCCCATCGACCCGCTGGTGTTCGCCATCAACGACGACGGCACGGGCGGGGTCATCATCGACTCAGGCACGTCCATCACGTGGCTGCAGCAGGACGCCTAAGGCCGTGCGGCGCGGGCTGGTGAATGCCATCGCTGCCGGCGTCAATCAAAACAAAGCCTCAACATGTTTCCATAGCTCCTGCTCGTTTTTGAATTTATAATCACTGAAGCCACACCTCGGACGGACGCAACCAACGGCGTTAAATAATTAATAAACAGAGTGTAATTGCGGTCGGAATGACATCGATGGTATTTTGCAGGCATAAATGAACATCGATCGGAATTTTAGAAATCTCGATGGTTTAGATTGCTATGAAACCAATTTTCCTATAAGAAAAGTAGAGCAGTCTAAGAAAAGCTTAGAACTAATTGATTAAAACCTGTTAAAAAATAACTAATTAACAGTTTGATTGTAAATTACTCAAAACAAATCTCTACTTATACAAAAGTAAGCATGCACATGTACAGTCAGCGAGAATATAATACAATGCTTCAGCTAGAGAGTGCCAGCACCAGCCACATCTAAAGCTTTGCTCTAGGCAACTCATGAAACATAAGAATGTGCAATCAAAACAAAAGGTCAACTACTCTCCTAAAACAATAGAGGAGCCAATAATCAAGGCCACATGCCTCAGTTAGCTCCAAATCAAAACAATATAATAAACACAGTAATTAAGTAAACGACATCATGCGTCCTTGCAGGCATAAATGAACATCGATCGGAAATAATAGAAATGTGATTGCCGATGTAAATGGTACACGGTAGTTACCCTATGCAACTCATTATACATCTGGAAAGCAAGATCTGAAGAATCTGCAGCTGCAGAACACACCACAGTTCTTCTAAAAACAATAGGAAGCCAATAATGAAACTATGCTCCGTGGCTCCTTCTCAAAACAATATAATAGAAAGCCAATAAAACTATGCTTTGTGGCTCCTTGAGCTCTGAGTGCAAAGTCGAAGCCAGGGCGAGTCCTCCCAAAATACCATTCTTTTTTTTGAACTTATGTAAAAAATATCACTTCTTTCGTTGTGGGTTGATTTATTAATGTTTTATTCTTAAAGAATGACTTAAATTTGACTATTTTTACACAAACCGATCATGACCTAGATCCTTCAAATAATAAAAAAAACGAGCTGCTTAGCAGGAGCTGTACATAGTACGTAGTAAAAGCTCTGACCGGATCGGATAGTAGCGTGCCGACCTGCATAACATCGGGCGCAGAAAAGATGCCTGTGAACCATATAGGAAAAAAGAAAGTCGAACATGACTAGGCCTTGACGACGCTGACAGTGAGAGACTAAAGAAGAATGAATGGGTTTGAATTGATTAATATGTGGAGTAGATCTGCATCGCGGCGCAGCAACTAGTGGCTCCGGTGCAAAGTGATCAGCCAACATCGATCCCATCCAGCTCCCAGCCAAACCGACCTGATGAAAACAATACGGCAAGTGGCACTTTCCTTTTATTACTCCTACACTTCTAACCTGCTTGCTCAGAATTACTCCTACTCATATTTTCCCAAATTTTGTCCAAATCAGTGACCATGGTGAAAATAAAACTGCACAAAAATCCCTTCGTTTTTGTGTTTTCTCATGCCACGTCAAAATTCGGAACAGTGGAAAACAGGATCCACAAAAAAAAGGGTTTAATATGAGTGGTTTGCCGATCCTTTTTTTCCCCAATAAATATAGCCGAAGCCCAAAAGCATCCAAGCCCAGCCCAGCCCAACGGTGGGATTAGGGTCATCATCGTCTTCCTCCCCTCTCCTCCGGTCCCTCCGCGCCGCACCGCCTCGCCCTCGCATCCTCCAGCCTCCAGGCGGTGGCCACGGTCCACGGGCGAGCAGCTCGGTGCACGCGTGGACGTGCTGCTGCCGCCCGCTCCGGCCCCGGCATCCGCGCGCGCGTCGCACCGTCAAAGGGCACGGCAGTAGGCCGCCGCGGCCCGCGGGTCTGTCTCTGACCCCGGACCCCGGTCTTCCCGCCTGCTCCGGTCCAGGGCGCCGCGGCGCCCCCTCCGAATCCCGTCGGTGGTGAGCTGCCTCCTGGTGTGGCCCGCGAGTTGCGACACGCCGACGATGCTGCCTACCGGGGAACCTACCTCTGGATCCGTGCCCTTGCGCCAGGGCCACTTTCTCCTGGAGCCGGAGCCTCCGCCGGCGGCGGTACCTGCTGCCAACGCGAACACCTCTAATACAGGTACGTGTTATGACGGAGACTCAGATTAAGCTCGTTTTTCTTGTTGCTCGTGACACGACTTTGAAATCGGGGAATGAAATGGGTGTCACGTTGACTCTTGCTCATTCCTGGAGATGTATTGTGTTTCAACGGGCTTGTCGACGATACTAAATGGAACAGTGTAGTTGGGCTTGCACACTAGTTAGCGAATGCGAATTAAGCTCGTTTTTCGTACTGCCTGTGACACGGCATTGAGATCAGAAATAAAATTTGCCTCTTCCTAATTCCTGAAGGCATATGACTATTTGTAGTTGAACAGTGCTAGGGCTTAGGGCATCCACGGCGTGGCTTCAAACCGTGCTGCTGACGAGAAGCGAATGCAAACAGAGATTGGCAACCACTAGTGTGAAACAACAAATCTAAAACACTCTCTCTTCCTGTGATGTTGCATCGCTCGATCTTGGATGCATTGGCGAGCAAATATTTTAATCCCCTGAGTTCGACTCAAGTTTGAAGTCCGATTTTGTGTCTGACAGAGTGACAGGTAGCAGTAAATGTCCACACTGTGTCGTGTTCGATTTCTTTTTTTTTTTTTTGAACGTAATGGCAGGAGCTCTGCCTTTCGATTAAGAGGAATAGAGTTGGCCTAGTTTATAAGGGAAACCAGGCCTGAAAAAATTACAAAGGCACAGATTAAAACACAGAAAATACCCTCAACAAAGGCACAGTTTTCTACTGTTCGATTTCTGTTGCCATGGTTCAATTTCAACTCAACACTGGAGCTGCTTTTATAGACGATAGCAAATGGAGATCTATTTCTTTTAGCTAAAATATGGGCAATTACTTGGACACTGGTCGAATATGGTATGGTAGATATGGTATGCTGTGGAAGTGTGGATATCAATTTACTAAAATTGATGTTGTACTGCTAGTGTTAGTGTATAAACGCAACTGGAGTTGTGCTTCTTTGAACCAAAAGCTGGGATGTTTCTGTGTGCTGCATATTATGAATAATAAGTAGGCGCAATCGGTTTGACAAGAATAGATGTCAAATTCATTTGACAAGTACAAAGACAACACATACTTTGCAGAAAAAAATAACAGCCTCAAATTTTATTTTATCAACCACAGTTTTCTGTGTTTCTGATGGCACTCAAAACCATCAGAGCAATACAACATATAGTTTGCTTGCTATGGTTAAAACCCTTGCGAGAATTTTAAGGTTATAGTTATGTCCCTCTAGGGTTAATAGTCTCAAATGATCTAAATGCCGGGGAACAGGAACAGGGTTCTTTTCTCCTCTTTTCTGAGCTTTATATGTGATATTCTTAGTGTTTCTTTGCATATGCTAGTGTTCTCTTTTGTCATTATGTGCACCAAGCATGATAATTTAATTAATTTAATTTTCTCTGAAGTCTGAACCTTCTGCTCACTCTTCCTATCGTGCCAAAATCCAAATAGTGCATGTTTGTTCTTGGACCTTGGTTTCTGTTATCTGCTGTTTTTAGGCTTGTACCTAAGCACCTTATGTTAGTTGACATAATTTTGAAATCTTCTATGCAGGTGACACTAGATTTGATGCATCACAGTATGCTTTTTTTGGCAACAATGTGCTGGAGGACATTGAACTAGGTGGATTCGAAGATGATAACGACAGTAATGCTGCTTTCACTGGACTCGATGATTTAGAGCGCCCACGTTCTTCTCAAGAGATTGCACTAGAGGTAGGACTATGCTGGACAAGAGTAATTTAATGTCAGTTACTCAGTTGTTAATACAACTGTGAAGATACTGTTTAGCAAAATGTGTGTGTGTGTGTGTGGGGGGGTATCGAATATTCTCAGAAGATTGCAGATGCACTTGTATTGACTTTTTTTCATTCTTCTTTTGTTGTGCTGTTAGGTTTGTTAGTTCAGAACATGAATCTTGTAAAGTTTAGTTTTAGTCTAACAGATAGACTCAAATTATTCCATGTAAACTGTAAAGTCAGACTGATGCCTGGTGGGTTTGTACTGAACTTTAAAGAAAAAGCTCTATGCCTTGTATAGTTTGCATTCACTTCTCACCTAGGCTACAACTTGTTTTTCAGGCTGAAGATAGTTCATTCTCAGATCTTGATGATCTTGCAAATACATTCTCAAAGGTTATCTTTCCCCTGAACTAGAATTTCTCTGTCAAAAAAAAACTAGAATTTCATTGCAGTAACTTTCAGCGCAAACTTATTTTCTTTGTGTCCGTTGTTTTCTTAAGGAAATCCTTGTATTCATATTACATTCTTTACATGTTTTTAATAAGAGTCCATGTACTCACTGTAACCCTAAAGCTATCCTAATGGTCTATTTGCACCCAGAAATTGAGGTACAAAATTTTTTTCTAAAAAAATAAGGGGTATGAAGTTTGTTGTGTCAATTTGTAATCTTTTTTCTTTGTACAAGTACAATGAATCATAACTTTGATGTATAGTAGGTGTTCTATGTACTGATTAGTGATTACTGAAGTATGTATTACAAATTCAAGCAAAAATGTACTATGTGAAAAATTACTTTACCTGCCTTTAAACAGGAAAGTTATTTTGCTATAAGTTATCTGAAATGTAGCATCCAATGTACCCCTTTATGATTGACCTGATTTACAATTGCCCCTTCCAAAGAAATTGTACTGAAAAGGAAAAATACTTCCAATGTTTCATACTTGGGATTTCTACCTTTCTTGTAGAATTTGCAATATACCAGCATGACTTGTATGCTTGCTGTTTCAGGTTCTTCTTACATATGTACCATAATTATGACAGAAACAAAAGAATCATAAAATTACTGCAGAATATACATCTCATATGGGCTGCGTGTTCTGGATTTATCTGCTGGGCTTGATTATAAGAGTTAAATTGCCTGCATATGTTATCCTTTCATATAAACTTTTCATTGTAAGAGATTATTCTTGAGATATACCTATACCGTACCTTTTTAAAATTTTGTGTGCACTTCATTTTCAGCTAAGAAGAGATGTTAACCTACCAAAGCATATTGGGGTAAATAACCTTGGGACTTCTTTTTCAAGAGAAAGTGAGTTCTGCCATTCTGGTTAATAATCTATATAATTCTTTGGTTTAAGAATTTTATGGGTTTCTTTGCTTGCTTTCAATAATACTTCTACCAGGAACAACTTGCCTTACCAAGAAGAATATTTGACTATCTACCTAATACTAAATATTTAGATAGATCAGAGTTCTTGAATATGTTTATTATGATCTAGATGTCCTTGTAAACTCTTAAGGAATTTTCATAACATGGTAATACATTTGTGATAATTGTTTTGTGGGATGCCCTGATGGATTTTTCCATTGACAGATGACATAATTAGCCATTCCTTTTATTTGACTGTTTATACAGAGATTTTCATGAAAAGAAGAAGAAATTATTCGTACATGCTCTTTTTTATATAATAATGTTGTCATGTGTTGCAGTTGAACTGCTACATCTGCATGTCCATTTTCTTGGTTCTAATGTGATATTTTACCACTTTGGTAGGTTCTGCTGCTGCTGACTGGGCTCCAGAATTTGAATCCCCACTCTGGCCTGATCAGTACGTGCAAGGTGCTAAGCAAGGACCAAATGGCAATGGCTGGTGGCCTCCACAGCACCATTCTTCTCTCCTTGCTGATTCCAGATTGCACAGAACATCCTCATCCCCTCAGCAACAGGAACAACACAATCATAACGAACCTGTTCTTGGACCAAGGCCATCTCTTTTGCACCGTACATCCTCATACCCACAAAAGGAGCCTCAGTACAATCCTGCTGAAGTCATTCCTGCTCCAAATGCACCATACATGTCAAACCATCCACCTGGTGGTCCACCCAATTCAGTGCCTCGACAACCACATCAGATGAACATGCCACCTTTCAATGAATTTCAGATGCATATGTCTGCACAAAGTGATGCCCCATTCTCCCAGTTTCCTCGTGGAGGGACACCTCCAGAGCCATTGTTTGGTGGAAACCAGGCCCATATGATTTCAACAGGCTTCTCAACTAACAGCAGTGGACAACAAGGTCATCTGCTGAATAATGGGCAGTTTCATGGGGAAACTGCCAGCAACATGCCAAATTTGCTGCCAAACCATCTACAACGTCCGAATACATTCATGCCCCATCAAATGCTGACAATACGCCAACAGCATGGCATGCTCCCAATTCAGCAATCTTCACAGCAGTCATCAAGAACACAGGCACACATGTTTGGCCCCCAGCATCCACCACAAATGATGAATAGGTTTGATAATTTTGGGATGCCTGAGTTCAGTGATCCAAGAACAAGATCATCAATGCACCATGGAAGGCAAGGTCACCATTTTCCTCTCCAAGGCTCTGAGTTTGGTATTATGAAGATGGGTAATGGGAGGTCAAGGTTTAGATCCAAGTATATGTCCACTGAAGAACTTGAAAACATTTTAAGAATACAGCATGCCGCCACTCACATAAATGATCCATACATCGATGATTATTACCATCAAGCTTGTCTGGCCAGCAGATATGTGGATGGAAGGTCGAAGCATCGCTTCTACCCAACCTTGATTCGGGATCCATCATCATGTGCACGGAGCAAGGATGAGCCACATGCATACCTTAAGGTCGATGCCCTTGGGAGACTGCCATTTTCTTCCATCCGGAGGCCACGTCCACTTCTTGATGTTGAACCAGCTTCTGCAACTGACGATAACTCTCTTATTTCAAAGCCTCTTGATCAGGAACCTCTGCTAGCTGCTAGGATCACGATTGAGGATGGACTCAACCTACTACTTGATATAGATGATATTGATCGCTTGCTTCAATTTAGCCAGCAGCAAGATGGTGGTTTACAACTTAAAAACAGAAGGCAATCTCTCCTTGGTCAGCTGGCAGAATCACTGCAGTTGGTTGATCCACTAGGTCCAAATAAAAACACACATTTGTCTGCAAATGATGATTTGGTATTTCTTCGCATTGTTTCTCTACCCAAGGGCCGGAAACTACTTTCACGCTATATCAACCTCATGGTACCTGGTAGCGATCTTGCAAGGATAGTTTGCATGGCAGTATTCCGGCATCTGAGGTTTGTGTTTGGAAATTTACCGTCTGATGATGGTTCAGCTGAGACAGTAACTAAACTAGCTAGTGCTGTAGCTGCATGCATTCGTGGGATGGACTTAAGTGGGCTCAGTGCTTGTCTTGCAGCAATTGTGTGCTCGTCTGAGCGTCCACCTCTTCGACCCCTTGGATATGCTGCTGGTGATGGTGCCACTGTCATCATAAAGTCTGTCCTGGATAGAGCAACAGAGCTTCTCACTGAGCAGCCTGCTGCACCAGACTATAGCGCTCCAAACCGAGCCCTATGGCAAGCATCGTTTAATGCTTTCTTTGGGCTGCTTACTAAGTATTGTGTGAGTAAATTTGACAGCATGGTTCATACTATGCACAAGCACCCTGCTGCTGCAACAGCGATACGCAAGGAACTTCCAGTTGAGCTTCTGCGTGCCAGTCTTCCTCACACAGATGAGCAACAGCGCAGACTATTGCTTGAGTTCGCCCAGCGTACTGTGCCTGTCGCTGGCCATAGTTCTGACGGGTGACGGGGCAGCTGGGTGGAAACATGGCATCTGAAACAATACCAAGTTAAGGTGGTCAGCAAATATGAGTGCACTAGATGTCCTTAGAGATGTGGCCCTCTTAAGGAGCATGAGCTACAATTGAGTTGGGTACCAGTATGGGCGTGCTGGTGTTAAGTGGATGTATCTCCCAGGTTTGGATCATAGACTCCCTTTGTTAGGCTACAGTGTTCTCTCTGCATTGTTGCATCACACCACTAGATAGACTAGGAGGATAGTTTCCTTTTGCAGGGCTGCGTTTTGTTGGCTCTGGGAGGGAACTGAACCCTGCTATTTCTAGAGGCAGATTAGTGGCTGTAATGCCTGGACAGCACGTTCCTTAAAGGCAATATCCATCATTGCAAGAAAATATTTCAAGCTATAGGTTTCCGTTTGCAATATTTGTAGTGGCGTCAAGGCATGCAAGATTCTTATTTAACTCTGGAATTTACTGGAGGTTCTCCGTGGCCACGCAGAAGGGTGCCAAAAAGATGTGGGAACACATGTAAACTAGCAAATGCTTGGAAGTTGGTCTTTGGTTCTGTAGCCATTTGAAGATTGTTGTTTTTTCCTGTTATATTCGTAACTGGATACATTATCTTGTGAAGCTGTTGAGTTTACTCGGAATTCTGCTATATATGCTTGTTATTGGTCAAGAGCTTTATATTTTGGTGATTCTGGGGTACTAAAGCTTCGTGTGATGATCTACTTTTGGGAAGATTTTGCATTCATAACTGCTGCTTTATATTCGTGAAGAAGCGATTGCGGTTTTTTTTTTTGGGTTAATTATGGACAGCATCTGACGGAAACTAGAATACTATGCTGTTTCGATACAAAGTATTTTCAAAATTTATAAAAATATCATGGTTTTGTGAAATACTTTGGTTTTGAAGTGCCATGATTCCGTGAAGTGTTTGGACAACATTATGGCTTTTGAAAACCACAGTATTGCTAAAAGTAGTCTTTTGGAGTTTTAAAAACTCCAGTATATACATTTTTGTAACCATAGTTTTGCACATCTATGGATCCTATCACGGTTTAGTATCTAAGCAGGGCCTGAGCGGTCAATTGTAGCCTCAAGTCAAGGTCCCATGTTCCTACTTAGTGCTTACCAGCAGTAACTAAGCATGCTAATGCTATCAAGCCAATACGAAAAGCAAGTTGATTGCTCCATGAACATAACCGCAGACTCCGAAGGACGAGAACCTTTGAATCTAGAAGGCAAGGCGTTGAAGACGACATGAACCTAACCTCATGCTCCGAACAAGAACAGAACCTCGAACCAGAAGGCAAGACTTACCCTGAGGTTGATGTGGCATCACGTTGGATAAAACCGCCGTCTAAAATCATCCGGGATGCATAACAAACGGAGCTCCAGATGGAGCCAATAGCTGCATCTTCACGCGGCAGCCGAGCAGCCCATAGAAATGCTTCAGATTTGCAACCGGCTAGGGCGGCCGTCAGTGTAGTTGTTTCGTTGCTGAAGACCACGTTGTTGCGCCTCTTCCAGATGTGCCAGCAGCACAACAGTAGGAAGGTGTGCCAAAGTGCTTACTTACACGGCATATATATGATCCGGTGACTGAATTTCTTTAAGCGCCTGAACCGGCCACTTGGTTTGTTGGAATCTGCAGAGCATTCCAGAATTGTGCCAATGGTGGCCATGCAGGTTGCCAATTAATGAAGCACAACACCGGCATTTTGCTGGAACCAACCCATCTTGCCCATGAAGACGCTTCATTGGAGTTGCAGCTTGTGGATCATCTTCAGGAGGACTGAAGGATGCACGTGTGTTTGTATGCCCATGTCTTTCAGTCGAAGGCCGCTCCTGTCCTTGGGTTCACAGACATGATCCCAGGCTACTAAGCACTTGGCGCCACTAAAGTCTGCAGAGCCTGGTCAGAGGAAGGAACGGCGTCTCAATCTTATCAATCTGATCAACTACCCCAGCCCCAGGTGGAATTGCCAGAGCACCCATGGCATATACTGAATTCACCAATGTGGTTCGGCCCATTTGGTTCAGCAGTGCTATCTGCCATCCGGCAAGATCTTTTATCTATTTGCGGTGCAAATGCAGAACGGCGTAGTTTATTGTTTGACAGTGGCAGGCCCAGGTATATGTCTGTGGGAAGCCTTCTCTTCTACGTACATCCAAGAGCAGCAATACATTCTATAACAGTCTCCTCTGCAACCATGTGAACAGGTACAGCAATGCTTTTTTGTGTAGTTGATCTGAAGCCCGGAGGCGTCTGCAAACTGGTCAGGCACAAGCACCCTTCTAAGAGCCTGGATGTCTGATAACTCCCCCTCAACTAGCAGTATAGCGTGTCATCTGTTGTACACTTGGCTCCAGCTGTACTCCTACATGTTGTCTTGCGTGTAGAATGCAAGACTACTGCCCCGTCCAAGATTTGTCCAAATCTACCGTATCTTCTCGCAATCTCACTCACTTGAAGATGCTAGATGCGTGTACTGCTGGCCGTTCAATCTGTGAAAGAAACGTACGCCGCCGGTCGTCTGCTCTACGTACGTACGTCGCTACGACAGGCAGTCTGAAGTATAGATAGTACCCTGCACTGCATGGTCGTTCGTGTCTGGAGATCGATGCGCCAGTGCAATGGCATTTGTCCTGTGGCCGATCTAGCAGCTGGGTCCGCCGTCCTCGTCGTCCGTCCGCAATGCAGCAGCAGCTGCTGCTAGTGCTAGTGACCCCGGACCGACCCGGACCAAGAGTCCCCCACCCCCACACGACATGTGTTTCTCTGCACGCTGCTGCAGCGATCTGGGCTGGGCTGGGGAGGACGACGCATCGATCGATCGACGAGCACACACAGAGAGGCAGACAGCCTCTGCGTTGCACTGCAGACGGAGACGGCAGCCGACCGACGACGACAAGCGCACGGAGAAGGATAGTCCATGCATCCCAGTACTGTATGTAATGTGTCAACAGCTTGGCGATGTTCTCTTGCTACTCCTATAGTCCTACTATGCGGTTTCATTTTCATGTTCCTTCCTTCCTGCTGATTGCTGCCTGCCTACCCTAACCCAACAGATTTGATGAGAGAAATAACGTCCCATGTGGGATGGGAAACAAAGCACAGTACGAGTCCTCTACACTGGTGCGGATAGAGAAATGCAAGCAACCTTTTCGGTGGTTCCCAGCTGAGCCGCTGCTGCTACAAAGCATCATGCATGTGGATCAGATTGCAAACTGGCAATGCCTGCCGCAGACACCACCACCTCTTTCTAGAGTTTGACCAAATTCTGATGGAAGAAATATCAATAACTGTAATGATACCAAACAAGTAGTGTATCATTAGCTAGGTTTGTAATGGAATCCATTTCTTTTCATACTACACGGATTGTTTAGATAGTACACACTAATTCTATTTTAAAACTAGTCGTAATTTTAAACAATCAGCTACAAATCAAGCGGACATCTCGTAGCAGGATGCAGTGGCACGTATGGAGGGGTAGATGAATTGTTGGCGTGGTAGTGCAGGCGCTGGCCGCCGCAGCACGGAACGGAGCCAAGCGTTGGACGGCGAGGCGCTGTCTGGTCCAGCTGATCCGGCGGACCGGCCTTGGAACACGCCGTCGTCGGCACTAGCATTAGCATCATTCTGCAACCGCATCTGTTCTTGTCATCACTCCGCGTCGCCCGCCGCTGGACCTCAGGACTGTAGCCGCTCCTGCCTGCCGGCACCCGCTGCTGTCGTGGACCATCCCGTGGTGTTATTATCTACTGCTGTTTCCTCCTAATCTAGGAAGTAGCTGTGGAGCAAAGAGAATGAAGCGAGCAGGCGGGTGCTAATCACTACACTACTAATCAGCAAATCAAATCAAACAGGTGCGGCGACGGCCGACGGGATGGGACACGGTGGCTCCGCGTGCGTACCCTCTTGTCACGCGCGCAGGGGCCGAGTCGCCGACATGCACATGCACGCTGCTCTCGGTTTCAATTTCAATTCCAATCTGGACATCTTCTGGCTGTGGTACACAGTACACTGGTACTCCTACACGGCTACACCGGAGGGCCCCTGAATCCGTTTCCACGGCAAACAACGCCGCCCCGGCATTGGATCCTTTCCTTCCTTCCTGTATCATGTACGTATTCATGTGATCTTGTCCGTAGGCTCTAGTACTCCTACTACACTGTGCTACTCATTCCGTCCAATACGAAATTACTGCAGTACAGCAGTGCGGAGTCAACTGATTTAAAATGTAATAATAACTAAAGTTATGTATTAATGTACCACTACTATTTATTATACTAAACAAATAACATTAAGTTTTTGATATATGAGTATTTATTTACGGAAATTATTTATCACCGGCGACGACGACCGGCAAGCTCCTCCCGGCGGCGTCCTCCCCGCGCCCGCGCCCCACTGTCTCCCCGTACCCAAGCTCGCCGGTCATGGCAGATCCACCGAGGTAGCCTCCTCCTCCTCCTCCTCCTCCGCATTAGGGTTCCAACAGCTAACTCCCTTCTTATCCAACTCCAGCGAGTTATAGAAGGGGCCGGCCGGGGGGGAGGAAGGCTAGTGGGCAGTTTAGGGGAACTGGCGACGGCAGCGGCAGTCGGCTAGGTCAAGGGGAGCTCCGCCAAGGTGGCGGCAGAGGGTGGGGGGGCGGGGAGGGGAAGAAGGTGGTGCCATAGGTGAGCTAGGGTTTCGCGGAAACCCCGCCGGCGGGTGGGGGGGGGGGGGGGGCGAGGGCGTCGGAGTCGACAAAGAATTGCTGCTTTTTTTTGCGAGTAAAAACTGCTGTGAGGAGGTGTGCGTGTTCGAAGCTAAATCCTGCACGCGAATGTTATAGTAAAAAGTCCATTTAATTAAAGCCACACACATCGATGGTATTTCCTATAAATAAATTTAGCAAAATTTAAAACATTTTAGCTTTCGTCTGATCTAGGAGAATCGATCCTCTCGCGCTTTCGGCGGCAGAGAGATAGTAGATGTAGTACTAGTAGATCTACAAAGTCAATGCGCCTCTGCCAATCTTGCCGGGTTTTACTTCGCGACGAACCAGGCACCATTACGCCCTGGAAATCTGGTGTGGTGATCACCACACAGACGTCATTCCTCCCGTCCTCACTCGACGGCCCGGACTGCGACACCCGGACACCGATGCGAGGGTAACTACGCGCGCGTCGACGCGTGACCGAAGACGTCACGTACGACGCGTGTGTGCACAGTACTCACACACTGCGTCGCCTTTCGCTGTACTGTAGCGGCGGTGGTGGTATTGCGCACGTAGAGTGAGTACACCACCCAAGCGTGCAAAGCGGCCACGGCCGTCAGCCGGCGCGCACCGGGCCAAGCCAGGCGACGTCCACTCCGGAGCTAGTGCTTCGTGCAGTGCGTGAATGGCCACACCACCGCGCCGCACCTCGGCTCGCTGGTGAGCTGGCTGACCGGTGAAGCTGACACAAAGCCAGCGTGCTCGTCCAAGTCGGCCCACGGCGCTACGTCCACATCTCCACCTCCATGAGAGGACGAGTCGACGAGACCCTCGCGTCGCGCCTCGCTCCGTGCTAGTAGTACTAGCCTCCAGCAGTCTAGCCTTTCGCGGCGACCGAGGCTGCCGCTCGCTCGCCACGGCCGGCGGGGCGGGGCGAAGACAAAGCGACAAGGGCGAGGCAGTCCGATGGACGTCGGAGGGGACGGAAAGCCGCGCGCGCTGCCGGTGCCGGCTGCCGGTGCGGCCAAAAACACCGCCAGATTTGGTCGACCGCGACGGCAAAACACTGGAGACGGCGAGACGCTCGCTGTCTGTCACACGCCTCGCTCGCTCGCTGCCTTTTCCTTTTCGCCTTCTTTCTTCCTCGTCGCCCCTCGGAAAGCAAACACAAATTCCAGTCCAGCGTGCACCTGCAACGCAACGCAAATCGCCGGGACCCGGGAAGGGGGAAGCACCCTTTTCCTTGACTTGCTCACTCACAGAGACGCGGGCGTGGCGTGCGTGGTTCTGCCGATAAAGGCTGCACCCCGACACGACGCCGCCGTCTTCTCTCTCGCTGCAGCTACTCGTAGCAGTACCCACCCGTGTCACAAGTCCTACAGAGATGGCTGGCTGTCCCTCAGTCCCTACCGCCGTTTCTGCAACACACCGTCATGAACGACCGAGCCCAAAGAGTGAGAGCAAGTCGTACACCTTCCACGAGTGCTCGTACTAGGATTACTACTCTATCTAGCAAAGGACACAAGTTAATTAAAAGGATGAACGATTTACTAGGAGCTGAAAGCGGCTTCACATGGCCGGATTGGCTACATAATAATGTAGGAGGAGCACGTACATGCGTCGCATACCCCACTAGTAGGTGAGTACACACACACACACGGTGCGAGTGCAACCACCACCAGCCTCCAGACAGACACACAGACAAACTATCATCATCGAACTAGACAGACGGCGAGATCATTGCATTGCGACGCAGCTCAGCTCGGCGCGGCGCGAAAGACAAACCTCCCTCCTCCGGCCACGTTGGTCTGTCCAAACCAAACATGCATGCATGCCTTATACTACTGCTTTTTAAACATAACACGCCGTCACCAGCCTAATGCCCTAATACAAACACCATCTACTACTACCATCTACGCTGACACCAACACAGTCACATCACTAGAGACAGAGGTACGGGTATTACGGCGATCACCGTCACGCCGCCCGTCAGTCTTCGCGCCACCGGACAAGCTCACGCGCCTTCCCCGGCGCCGGCGCCGGCGCCGGCCGCCCTCTCCTCGCCGCCCGTCGTCGTCATCGTCATCGTCATGGACAGCGGCGGCGGCGACTCCGACCCTACGGCACGGCAACACAAACCAACCAAGTACACACGCAGAGATGCGGTCAGCCATTACTACGAGTAGCACCGTAGCTTAAGCAGCTAGGCAAGTAGGAGTAGGCTGCTGTTGTGCCGTGCATGAAGTGGGCCCGAGGCCCCGTACCCGTACCTTTGGACGCGTTGAAGGAGCGCTTGCAGTGGGCGATGGCGCTCTGGATGCCGTCCTGCACCTGCAGCAGCGAGTCGTCCCGCCGCTGCGGCTGCGGGCCCGTCCCCGCCGCCGCGGGGGCATGGGCGCCCGGCGAGGGCGCCGCGGCCACCGCGGACGACGCCGACCGGCTCTTCCCGAGGCGCTTGCACACCTGCTTCAGACCCGCGGGCACGCTGGCGCGGGGCGCGCGCACGCCGCAGGCCACCACCACCGGCTGCGGCGCAGGGGCCGGGGCCGTCGCCGCCAAGGCTGTCGCTGACGACGGAGCCTGGGACGGGGACGGGGAGGGTGATGGCGCCGGGGATGGGTCGGGCTCCACGTCCGTCTCCTCGCCCTCGCTCGCCGTGCCGCCGAAGCGGAGGCGCTCGCCGTACCGCCGGGACACCTTCACGTACAGCGGCTTGATCTTGCTCAGGTACCGGAGGACCACCTCCTTCGCGAAGCGCCGCTCCTCCGCCGTGATCGACGCCGACGCCGCCGCCACCTCCTGCTGCTGCTGCTGGGGCTCCGCCGCCGCGGTGGCCGGACGGTCCACGCCGGCGTCCGAGGTGCGCGAGCTGTTGTCGCGCGTGAAGAGCGACGCCAGCGGCGCGTCCTCCACCCGGAACTTTATCAGGAACCGGCTCGCCGCCGGCTGCTGCCTCGGCGCCTGCGTGGCCCCGGCACCGTCCGCCGTCGCCGGGGCCTTGGGCTTCCTCAGCTTGAGCAGCAGCACGCGGAACCTGGTGGCCGGACGGAGCAGCGTCGCCGGCGGTGGGACCACCGCGGCCTCGGCCTCGGTCTCCGCCTCCGCGGCCGGCGCATCGACGGCCACCGCCTCGGCGGCCCCGGGCGCCACGACGTCTTCGCCGGCGGCCACGGCGAAGTTGAACTCGACCCGCTCCTCCTCGGCGTCGGACGCGGCGCTCTCGTCGCCGGGCACGGCGAGCTCGAGGTCGAAGAAGGAGGCGTCGTCGTCGTTGCCGTCCCCGCCCCCGCCGTCCTCGCACGCCGACGCCGACGCGGCGATGGTCGTGGTGGCGGCTGCGACCGCGGGCGCGCGCTGGGCGCCGGCCACCACGCCGCCGCGCAGGTACTTGAGGAAGCTGAAGGACTCCATGACGCACGCGCGGAACAGCGGCGCGCAGCTTTGCTGGGACTGTGAGGCTGGAGCTCCCCTCACTCACTCACTTGTTCTCGGCAGTCAAATCTTGCTCCCTCGCTCGGTTCCAAGACCAACTACTCCCTACTTGACTCCCAGCGGTCGAAAAAAGACTCTTTTTTGAGGGAGCCTTTTGAGGAGGACAGAGGAGTGAGGACCGGCTGCGGATGGAGGAGGAGGAGGAGGAAGTGGTGGTGGTGGTGGTGGCGGCGGCGTTGCAGTTGCAGCATCAATGCCAAATAGATGAGCAGCAGAAGGCCGCGCGGGGTGGGGACGTGGGGTTGGACGGGGAGGGCGGCGTCGGCTTTCGACGGGGGCAGAGGGTCCCGGCCGGTGCACTGCTCACGCCGTGGGGGCGGTGGGGCTCCCGTGATCCCTTCTCCTCCGGCCTGCGCCTCCACGCAGGGATTTCAATTCAATCCAACCGTATCTCTTTGGAGAATTCCAAAATCTGTTTTCCAAATCTGTTGGCGCTGCCCGTGTGACGCAAACGGCCATCCAAATCTATTCAAATCTGGCTACAAATTTTTGAACAAATCCCCAAGGTCTGTTAGCGCTAGGTGTGCGGTGTGGTCAGCACACGACTTGACAAATCTGCACACGTTTGACATGAATAGGTGGGAGAGTGGCTGCGCGGTGCCTAGACCTTGGGGGCGTTCGGTCAGTTTGATTATTAAAAAAAATCGGTTTTGATAAAATATTCACTGAACTTGCTGTCAAGATGACATGGTTCGATGTTCAATATAATATAGTCACAAAGATATCTCTTTAAATAGGTTCATTCGGCTAACGCCATCTAAATCGAATCAATCACCCAAAAGCGACAGAATTCTCGCTGAAAACTATATTGAATTGAAAAAAAATGATAGAACAACTTTTTTCGTTTGAATCGGGTTTAACAATATTTTGTCCACCCGGAATCAGTGGCTGAAATATATCAGGTGTGGTTTTTCTAAACCCCCGTCGTTGACCTAAAAAAACAATATTTTGTCCACCCGTGCATGTTCTTCGGTGCCCTCCCAGAATTTGGTTTTCCTTCCTCTTCGTGTTTTGTTTCCTGGCAACTTCTAGTACGTCCCAGTGAGCAGTAACTTAGCAGAGGACCACCGTCTGTGCTGGTGTGGTAAATAAAACACGATCGTACTAGTAAAAGAAGCAGTAGTATAAATAAAACTGAGAGTCAGCTGATTATTATTACTGGGATTTTGTTCTGAACATGCGAACGAGAGGATTTGCCTCGGAATGCGTTTGGTCGAGTGCTCGAGTAGTAAACTGAACTGACGGCTGCGTGCGCGTCCATGTCCATGTCCATGTCCCTGTCCATCCTCCATCGGCCCGGGTCCCGGCCATCCCTCCCTGCAGGCTCTTCTGCATGGCAATTGGCAAGGCTCACATGTAGCTTTGCTCCATTTGGACCTCGGTGACAAGCTCACACTGCGTGGCACTGCAGCAGCTGAGCAATAGACCGACGATCATGGCGTCCAGCAGCCTTCAGTCAGTCACGGGCAGCCAATGCCCAGAAGAGGAGAGGAGAGGAGGCAGAGGCACCCACGGGCCTCCACGGATCAGAAGCACAGCTGCCTTTGCCTTTTCTGGCATGGCGATGGCGAGGCCGTCCTGAGTTTCTGACGAGAGATAACGTGATACTGAGGTCGGACTGTTGTCGCACACACAGCCGGCGCTGGGACGTGGGACCTGTCACCTGTGACCGTGAGAGACTCAACACTTGATCAGATATAATCATTTGACGTGAACCGGAACGGATTGAGGAGTGCGTGCGCAGTGCAGTAATCCTTGTCTGTGCCATCATCATCTGGAATGTGATTTTACTGCAGTCTTCATCTTCTCATCTTCGTCTTCTTGTTGTCTTTTTTTTTTCTAACTCACTGGTTTGATGGTTTCTGAGAACCATGGCAAGTCCGTGTCGGATACAGAATTATTTCTGACCTTGGAGCTATTGAAAGTTGACTTCGTGATTTCCAAAGCAGAGCTGTTTATTCAGTCGTGTCCGTGCCCGGTGCCCGTGAACCATGGTCAACAGAAGGAAACCAACATAAAAGAGACTCAAATCAAATATACATACAGTGGTATATATATGTCAATATGTGCAAATGATGGGAGCATTTTTTTTTTTTTTTGTAACAGCTGGGAGCAAGTGGGCTCGCTCTGTGAAGAAACGGACCGCAGAGGACGCGAAGGCCGGAGCTCGTTTGGGCTGACGGCCCAGTATTCCTATTGGATCGAATAATCGATCCTCCTGTGTCTTCGGTGGAAACACCACACCAAACCAATTTTAAATACAGTTTTTGACATTCTGAAAAACTTGGAAACTTAGCGTTTCCATGGCGTAGATACGCCAATTACGATTTTGTTTTTCAAACACGAGTTTGCGTCTTAAGTTTTGCGACATGTCTAACCTATAGAAGCGCTGTAGATATGCCCAGTACCCTTTTTTTTATGTGTTTCCATGAAGTCAAAATTTTCAAAGGAATTCAAATCAGAATGAGTCTGATATGATCCATGGCTTAGCGAATGCACAACCATCCACATACTTAGGGCACCGCACAGATGGCGTGGGGATTTCAATTTCAATCCAACCATCTCCAAACTCTGTTTTCCTTCTGGTAAACAAAAAATCCAAAATCTGTTGGCGCCGCACATGTAACGCAATATAGCCAGCCAAAGGAGATGTGTAAATTCAAAATCTGGCTTCTTTTTTTTGTGTTTTTTTTTTTTTGCAAACAAATCCCCAAGATATGTTAGCACTAGATGACGTGCAGTGTGGTCGCCACTCAGCACACGGCTTTGCCATGGCATGACAAATCCGCAAACGTTTGGCATGGACCGGTGGGTGAGTGGCTGTGCAACGTGCCCAGTGCGTGGGCTGGGCATTTTTGGTTTTGACAAAATATTAACTAAAATTTGTTGCTAAAATGAACACATATTGGTGGTCGCAAAGATGTCTTGTGAAATGGGTTAATTTGGTTAACGCCACCTACAAAGCGAATCAAAATCGCCAATTATCGAATATCGGCCAAACATCTTCACTAAATATAGTAGATTAATTTTTTTTGATTAACCTAATTCTTATATGTGTGGAAATGATGTGCACTTAGCTGTCGAAGCTTCAAATTGGGACCATTTTTTGGAACACTAAAGAGCAAGTGGGCTCGCTCTATGAAGAAACGGACCGTAGAGGACGAAAAGGCCCAAGATCGTCTGGGCTAACAACCTAGTATCCCAGTTGAATGATTCGACGACAAATGCAACGACTGTTGTATCTTCGGTGGAAACACAAAACCAACTTCAAGGACAATTTTTTGTCAATCTAAAAAACTTATTGTGTTTTTTAAACATGAGTTTACGTCTTAAGTTTTGCGACATGTGAGGCGTGAGATGATCCATGGCTTAGCGCATGCACAGCCATGAAACCAAAGTGCCTGGGTTCGCTGCCTTTTACAAAGAAAATAAGGTGTACAAACACTTTCGGTGGTCCCATCTATGTGGCACTCTGTTTACCACATTTCAAGTTTGGATTTTTGGTCAGTTAGTAGCCATACTTTACAACAACTAACAACATCAAAGTGTGGTGAGAAAAATGATTGAAGGAGGTTAGGTGGGGTGGAGTTTGTTCTATACTCTCTCCATTCTAAATTATACGTCGTTCTGATTTTCTAGGTATATAGTGCGTAGTAAAAAATTATGTATCTAAAAAAGTTAGAACAGGTTAAATTTTGAAGCAGAGAGAGTAGCATGTATACACCTAAAAATTATCATTTTAGTACTATATTTTAGAAAGCATGCATATGAATGCAATATATATGTGCATTGTTCATTTATTTGAAAAAAAAATGTCCAGCTGTACCTTTTTAATGATTTCACGTCAAACTATAAGGTGGTTTGCTGATTTTTTAAAATTTCTTCCACGGTATCTCACTATCACTTTGTTTCCATCTGCACACTGCACGTGGATTTGAATATTCATTTTGAGTTTTCTTAATGCGCAAACGAGATGCTATTTTCACTTTGTTTCCATCTGCACGTGGGTTTGAATATTCATTGAGTGAAAATTTGGCGTCCTTTTCTTAGACCGGGCCATTCTCGAGAGGTGGCTATTTAAAATCTTATTTTTGAAACGGAGTGAAAATTTCTCGATTTTTTTACTCCTGACAGTGAGAAAATGAACAAATACATTGAAAAATTTGGAGGGTTTTCGGTTTCAAACATCTGTTAATGAAAATTCATCGTACCATAATAATGATTAAAGGTTGAAGATAGGTTGGGCTGACAAAAGCTGATTCTTTTCTGGTGATAGGGTTCAGTGTGGCAATGAGAGGGCCCATTATATTCTATTTATATGTTTACGCTCCACATTTGGCGTACAAAGTAAAACTACTTGAGTAAGAGCTTTTGGTAACTCGAGAGGAGCTATTGAAAATATTATTTTGAAACGGAAAAAGTTTGCGTAGATGTTTTTTACTGACCAGAAGTGTGATTACATTTTGGTTGCGGACGGATGGAATAGCATTTCAAAATAATAGAGGGTTTTCGGTTTCAAACATCTTTTAATGAAAATTCATCGTACCATAATAATTATTAAAGGTTGCTAGATAGCTAGACACTAACCAAAACACAATTCTTTTCTGTGAAGGGGTCAGTGTACATGAGAGGGTAGTTAGGAAGGAGCAAAAAAAATGCTTTTACGCTCCACAATAGTCTAAAGTAAAACTACTTGAGTAAGCATTTTGGTAAAAAGACTAGTACTTGATAGCTTTTGCAAACGATTTTCCAAACAAAAAAAGTTTATGCGAGATGTAAACATAGTGAACCAAAAAATCTTCATGGATGAAGTGGAGCTTTGTCGTAAACGATCGTAAATTTTCAAATTAAAATAAATTTTTTCTCTCACACAAACTAGCCAAAGAAGATTTTTTTCACGAACCAAAGAACGATATGAA